AATATTGTAAATACATATATATAATTTATGCATATATTCCTGTTGTAAAGCGCCTTGGACATGCTCATGGATATGAGCGCTATATAAATAAACTTTATTATTAAGAAAAGACACTCAGCATTAATTTTTTTTCGAGTAAATTATAAAAATACTGACATCAAAATTAATTCATAAGTTTTAATCAAGAGAGCATCTGAAATTATCATTTATGCTCTCTTGTAATACATTTGCCAATGACAAGTTCTGTTCATGTATGGTTGAAAATGTTTGATCAACAAATACTTCTTGACGTAATTCATATATAAACTCTTTCTAATTAGAAATCTTTTTCGCAGTAGGAATAAATCTCTATTCTTGGTTTGCAATCAATCCCAAGAGAGCACAATAATAAAAGGGATGTCCGCCATGTTGGAAGATATAACAAAAGAATTTATTGAAAAATCTTTTGTCAAATTCTTCCAACATGGCGGCTATGACGTCTATTGCAAACGAAGAATTGCATGAGTTTGTTTGACAAGGAAAAGTTCAAACATGAGTATAACATCAAGAATATTCGCGCCCTTGTTTTCAGTATTTACCCTTTCTTTTTTACAGTTTTTCTGCTTATTTTTTCTCTTTCACGCGATTGACAGTCTTGACAAATTCCATGACAGAAATGCCCCTATTGTTCACACTTTTCAATCCCGTCCTGCGTGACGACCGACACTAAAAACGGATGCGAGGGAGACTACTCAATCACACGCACGAAATCGTAAAAATTTGTATCGCGACAGAATAAGGTTTTGGTGGACGTCAACCAAAGTGTTTCCATGACATTGCCGGATGAAAACACAAAGCTTTCGAGGGCACGTGTTTATGGAATGTTGTGAAAACACCTTGATTGACGTCCACCAAAACCTACTTCGTCGAGACGGCAAATTGTACGATTTCGCTCGTGTGATTGAGATGTGCTGTAAAGGTTTAAGTCGACCTCCCTAGCTCCTCCCTAGTCCATGATCCATTAAGTAAAACATGAATATGCCTTTTCGTCTATAAACATTTTATTCAGCTAAGAACAGTTTCGTTAACATGTTACTTTTTTCTTGTGGAAGGACGGTTTGGTATTTTGCAGGTTAACCTGTATGATATACGAGAAGAAAGAAAGAAGTATTTTCAAATTTTAATGAAATATGTAACAGGTAAGTCGCGCAACAAAGTAACAGGCCATTCAACAAGGCTATTTCTTAGATAAACAACAATTTATAAAATCATTAATTGTAATAGTGATGAAGTAGGAGCATGCAAATGTGATAGTAAAGTGTTCTTGTGTTGTGGCGTCGTCAAAATGTAGTGGATGGTGGTGGATGGTGTGGTGTGGTGTGGTGTGGTGTGGTGTGGTGTGGTGTGGTGTGGTGTGGTGTGGTAAGGTGTGCATGATGGAAAAAAAGATTAATGAAATAGAGCCATCATAATAATCAGGGTAAAGAACATTTTGCACAATAAATATGATCAAAGCGGTAAAATTCAGAAATTCTATCCATTACTGACCTCTCATGTTCTGGTAGATCCAGTTGACATGTTCACTGACACGAGCGTACACTGAGTAAGTGTTACCAGGACAAGTCAGTTTGGTTACCCATGACGCAACACCGCGGAGCACCCATCGTCCATTCTCCTCGCACATCAAGGGCCCGCCGCTGTCACCATTACATGCACTATGACCCTGTCCACCTACACATACCATTGTAGTCTCATCAACAAAGTTGCCATTTCTCCTTATGCAGGTCCTGTGGTCTACGATTGGCATGTAGGCTTGTTTCAGCACGTCGGATGGTTTATAAAGGTCATTGGGATCRATTCTGCCCCATCCTACGACAATAATTTATTATTGTGTTATTTTAAAGAATAAAATCTTCACTGTGATATAAATTAATAACGTTTTGCGTGACCCCATCACCCTGCATGTCACGTACGCGTTCCGCAAGTCCCTTATGTCACGCATGCCTGCGTAATTTATGTGCCACGCACGTAAGAAGTGCTGCTTATCACGTATGCTGCGCATGTCCCGTATGTTCTACAAGTTCCGTATGTACCGCATGCATGCCAGCAAGTACTATATGACGCACATTTTATGTCCCGTATGTCAGTCATGCTCATATGTCACATGTGCGCGTGTCCACCCGTATGTAACCGTACGTCTTGTATGTCACGCATGTCACGCATTTCAGGCATACATATACCAGGCGTCCATAGACTGTAATAATTCAATTACCTGCAATGTAGCACCTGCCACCGGGTCTAGCGCGGGCACTCTGTCGTGGCAGACACAGAGTCTGTACCCTGCTGTTCAGCCGTGCAGGTTGCGAAAGACGGAGGAGAGAGAGGTCATGTCTGAGATGGCTCTTGTCATATCCACGGTGGGTTATGATTCTGGCGACCCGTAGTGTCACGCCATGATTCTGTCGATAGTGAGCACCTGTCAATCATAGAATAGTTGGTTCACTTCGCTGAGTACTTTTACAAAGCTTACATATAAAGCAATGAAAGATGACTGTTTTTCAAAACATGAAAACGATCGCAAATACGCTTTGTTTGTTTAGAAGGTCGCATAGAGGTTTTGCATCATCACGTGACGGCAGCCATGTTAGATGGCAGGAACAATACAATCGTTTTACATGAGAAAGAATTCAATTCCCGAGAGCACAGGGATTTTATTGTTCTGCCATCTAACCACAGGCAGCCCAAGCTGGATTATGGCGCTGGCACGTGATGGTGTAAAACATCTATTGTGATGCTATTGATGACTGAAATATTTAATTTTGAAATATCATATTTTGTAAAAGTAATGGTGAGTGCGCTCGCCGCATCTCCCCGTTTTGGACGCGATTGCAATCCTCGGACTGCTTATTGGTTAGATTGGAGCCTAGCTTTAATGAGTTACGGGTATCGTTACTGCCGAAGTATGGCCCGTTGCGAGTTTTTATCGATCTTGGCTTCATTTAATTAAATTTTCTTCTCAATCCAGAAATCTAACTTGATCGATTCAGAATTTACCTGCAGAAAGTGTGTAGTCCCGGGGATTGTTGCTACGTGCAACGCAGTGAGCCGCGGTGATGGCCCATGTAGGTGTCAGCAGTGTTGCGCCACAATTGTGACCTCCTCTAAATTTGAGTGACAGTTGCCATGGCCACGAATTTGGTGTAGCTTGTTCTCCTCCAACAATACGCATCCCAGGCTTTCGCCCACAACCTGAAAGAAAAGCCGTGAATTTCCATTACTCTTCTTTGTATAAAATTATAGTTACGAAGTACACCTACTTGCAAGAACGTTGTCATACGAAAATAGAACATTAAGTGATTTAGTGGGATAGGAATTATATTAAAAAACAAAAGAAGATCACTGAAGATGAACTTTTTTTTGTCTTTTAATGTATTCCTTTCTCTCTAAATTACTAATGTTCGAATATCGTATGACAACGTTCTTGCAAGTAGGTGTATATAGAATAGAATAATCCGAGGGCGTCGTTTGCATGATGGCGTCATTTTACTACTACTACTACCATAATGCTTCGCGAATTTTCTTTCTCATATAAATTTGTATTCCCTCATGAGAAAAGTAAGACAAGTGGTGCTATTAATATGAACAAAAGAAAGTGTGCAATGGGTTCTGGTAGTAGTAGTAAACGACGCTATAATGCAAGTGACCTATTAGCTGGAAATTGATCTTATTGGGTCCAAAGAAACCTCAAAGCGATAACTACTTACTTTGGGAGAAGGCAGAACCAAGCAGACAAGCCAGAACTATATAGAGAAACATCTTGGAAGGTGATGATGTTCTAACCTCAATTCTTAGGTCTTATATTGAGTAAAACCATGACTCAGCTGAGCATCTGTTATATATATAAACTTCTTCTGTTGGAAGCTAAAAAACTAGTTTTATTGCATGTTTAGACAAACAAACCATATGGAAAAGCTGAAATATTTTTAAGGTTGAGACTGGCTGCAGCATCAATCATTCTATTCCTGTTTCACGGGCTGCTTGCCAAGTTAGTGGCAACGTTGTCATACTTCCAGACCGATTTATTTATTCTCGGTGTGRTTAACGTATCAGCTACACATACAACAAAACCATCAAAGTCTTTCCAAATATTTGTTCAGACACTATTGCAGCTATAAACCCTAATTTGCGCTAAATTTGAGAGTCAGTTTTAGCCCGAAACCCAACCAAACATCAATTTTATTTAGACTATAAATATAATATAATCCCTAAATCTTGGGCTGATCGACCGTCTTCTTTTCATCATTGTTGTCCTAAATTGCAGAGCAAATGTATCTTTTCATGCAACTCTTTTTTAATTGCCCTCTGTCCTCCTCTTTCTTCTTCTGCTTGATAGCAATTCGCTTTAAAATGTATAACGAAATAATGCTGCACGAGAAGGCGAGCGATTTCCTTGTCCATACGTATCTAGATTCCTTCATCTTTGCAACTCTGAGTCTTCAGCTGGGTTAACATTGCATTTTAACTCTGCATAAGAAGAAAGACACATATCAATATAAAATATATTAAATTTGCTTTAGTAAGACAAGTGTATAAATAATCACTTAAGCAAATCAAACACTTACCTGGTGTTGAAATAATCCAAACCTTTGTCTTTGGCACGTCGATTACGTGAAGGAAATCATGTTCCTCTTCGTACCTATATATCTGAGTCTTCTGTTTGGCTCGTCGTTTTCTCAAGGTAAGACAATACACTGTCAATTTTACTAGCATTAGAACAAGAAGTTACAGGCATGTACAAATATCAACGAGAAAGAAGATCTGAACCTTGAAACCAAGGTCTAGTGTGCTTGCGTTGCAAGTAACGTACAATAAAACGAATCGGATAGATATGAGAAAATGTCGGTATGTACTTTTAATTAAAACCTTAACAGCCTTCTATGATAATGTAGAGTTAATTATTTGTTACGAAACCTGACGAGATAGAGGACAACCGTTCGTCCACTAGCTACAAAAGCAACAACGACGACAACAACAAGCAAAAAAAAAAAAAAAAGAAAAGAAAAAAACACACACACAACAAAAGAAGAAAAAACAAAAACACAACCTCTGAAACAGCAAAATCTTTCCTGGCCGATTCCTGGTCGTTATGATTCTGATGAAATATTTCAAATTATACAGATTGTGGTCAGAAGCGTAGAGGGGAATCACGGATAATAGGTGGAGAAGAAGCTACGCCTCATTCCTGGCCATGGCAGTTATCTTTACGTTTTAACGGGTCGCATGCTTGTGGTGCGTCTCTCCTCACGCCTCAATGGGCGCTCACTGCTGCCCATTGTCTTGTGAAGTCTCGTGACCCTAAAGACTACAGACTAGTGTTTGGTAGGTAATCTTTCTTCCTTCTTTTTTCCCCTTCCTTTCTTTCCCTGTCTTTCTTTTAGTAGTTCAAATAATTTCTTACTGGATCGCATCTAAATGGATCGAGAAGAATACTGATTAACCACATTTCTAAAAACATATCTTGAAACGTACCGAGACTGATTTTTTGGTTTCAGAATTCTTTTCGCTACTTGTTTCCATTTACTATATTTCACCTTTTATCAATCCTTCAAGGGGCGCACTATGTGAAAAACGACGGCGACATCCTTGGCTTGTCAAGGATAATAGTTCATGAAGGGTTTCATGTGGATCACTTCAAACATGACTTCGCACTACTGAAGATTGTGCGTCCTGTTCGACTGAGCAACAAAGTGCAAACTATTTGCCTGGCAAGAGGAGAACAGATAAAACCCGGTACAAAGTGTTATATATCAGGTAAAAACGAAGAACAATATCTGCAGGCTTAGCCAGGTTCTCTCGGTGCTCCAAAGTCTATTTGGTCCAGCATATATTTTTCCTTGGAATAGTCCCCTTCACAGTTCCCTGCGCCATCTTGAAAGGTAGCCGTGCCTTTGCAACGAAGCGAGACGAACGGTGAGCTTGTAATGATAGAGTCATGTGAATAATTGTCCAAGGTGTTAAAGAAGGTATCTATCATTGCAAGCTCACCGTTACGTTTCAAGATGGACAGGGAACCTTGAAGTTTTGGAATCCCAATTCGAGTGTGCATCCCTTTCCGCCGGAGTGAGAATAAAAAGGACAAAAGATGGAGCCGCCACGTTGGTTGGCATTACAAAAGTCAGCAAAACCATTTTTTTGTTGTTGAATTTATCCAACATGACGGCTATTACGTCAATTGCGCACCGAGAATTCGCGAGCCACAAGATTGCTGTAAATTATTCGAATTTTCATTCTGTTCAAGGTTGGGGTAGATTTGACCCCAAGAAGCCCAAAACACCTTCGAGTTGGCTCAAACAATCCCTCGTTCCCATCGTCGATAACAAGTCATGTCTGCGTAAAAATGGTCACATCACAGACATCCCAGATGACGTGATGGTCTGTGTAGGAGGTCAAGGTAGTACCATCTGTAATGGTGACAGTGGTGGGCCGTTGATGTGTGAAGAGAATGGACGATGGTTTCTGCGCGGTGTTGCTTCGTGGATGACCAGTTATTCGTGTCCTGTCGATACTTACTCGGTCTTTGCTCGTGTTAGCACCCATGTTGACTGGATACGCAACAAAATGCAAAGGAATTCTTGAGTTAAATAAATGATTTTAAATTGATAACAAATGTAACAATTACTAGTAATTAATCTTGGTTACTGAATTGCGCGCTTACACGATGTAATGCCACTAGCGTAGGGAGGGGTTCACGGGGGTTGACACGCCCTATTTTTGGTAATTAATTGAATGAATAACGATGTTTGTTTCTTTTTACTCAGTTTTTATTATTGATTTCGACAACCAATTTCGGATAGAATCTAACTTTTCTAGTTTAGGTCGATGTCTTGGACACACACTGGTTCGTTTTACACAACTAGTGGGAACGTGACGCGTGCAAACTACCACAAAATATTTTTCAAAAATTATCGAAACTTACGTTTTCTGGTTTCTTGAACCAAGCAATTCAAARCTCATGGTTGGGTTACCTGTGTCAGTCAAGACAAAGGGTGACCATCTCACCCCAGACTCACATTACGTCACATACAAAACATTTCGTAATGTTGTGCCGAACAATGACAAAAACACATATACAGCCATCAGATGAACAAGAACCACATACAAAATTCTGCTTAGAGTGAGTATTCTAACCAAGGTTTTATTGATACTTTTAGTAAACGGGTTTCTGTAACATTTTGAACGCCATTCGTAAGGTCAGTTTGTACAGATGGGTGATATTAAACTACCAGATACGCGATATCAGAGCTATAATCGAATCGCCGTATTTTTGGTCATTTTTTGAATAACTTCTCATAGGATGGTTTACTAGCTTGTTATCAAGTCAAATGAGACTTACATGCGCAACCTCAGAGCTATAAAGTTAGAAAAGAATTGAATGTTTTTGACCAAGTACGGGACTAGCTTTCGTAAGGATACTTTGCAGTATGTTATCGTCCCGGTATTAAAATGAATTGCTATAGCTTGTGGCCCTAAAGTTGTTACGAAAAGAGAACCGTTCATGTGTGGAATATTGTCAGAGTAAAAGCTATTAGAATCCTATTTCTGTTAGGACAAATAATAAATCAAAACTACAATTTCAGTCTTTCGTAGCAACACAAGTATCCGGGCCGGGGTTGTTTTGGTACATGGAATCATAGTTATTAACTATGATGGAATGGACTTTGATTAAAGCAACAGGAGCCCAATGTAGGCGTCTTTGGATCTACAGTATTAATAGGCGGTAAATACGCCTTCTTTTTACTGAGATCTTTCTAAAATGAGACTTGATTTCATGCAAGGGATATTCAAGTTTGAAAGAAATATACGTGAAATAATACTGATTGGAGCTCCTGTGGTATACCCATACGTTACGTTATCCATTCACCATATGTCTTGGATCGAGCCTGTATAAATAAACTGTTGATATGTTATTGCTACAATTGCAGGTATATAGTGTCATACGATGGCATTACTGCAGTACGGATCTACGGGACAAACTTCGACGATCATTACTACGGGACCCACGCGGGACGAATCGACATCGACTCTCGGGACCCGGAGGTCACTCGCGGACGACCTCAATCAGTTAGACGAAAACACTGAAGGGAAAGAAAGAAATAGAGATCCAATCGAAATGGGACAGAAAGTCGATGGAACAACCAAGCCTAAAGAAAGTAGTAATAGGGACGTCAATAATGGTCGTATGATGCAATCGTCATCCCGACATACAGATGACGTAAATCATCACGTGTTATTTACAAATGCCGTTCAAATACACAATGAGCACGGCTTTAATAGTGAACTGGAGTCGGGGAATTCACCACCTAGACGTATAGAACGAGTAACGGAACCATCAATCCATAATGATAATCAAAATAACGTTGATGGTGATGAGCGTGACTTGGCGGATGCCGTGTCACGCGTTCGTAGCGTGACTAGCACCTCTGTTTGTACCCATAGCGATGCTGAAGAATGTAACGAAAGCGATTTCTCAATAGCAATGTCATTGTCAACAGATACTATAACATTTAGAAGGGGTTCTCGTACAGGGAGCTTTTCTAGTTATTTACTTACACCACGGCGGAGAAGGAGGCGGATTTCAAGACCAGGAGCGCTCGTAACTGATTCTTATGCGGATGAATGTATATGTTGTTGTTCGATCTTATAAAGGTTAACTACGACGAAGATGGGATATTTTTTGGATAACATATAAGGCTATATTCGTTACATGATTGATCAGACTGCCTAAGGAAGGAAAAGGAACGGAAAGAAGAGAAAAGGGAAGGAAAGGAATGGTATAATGGGAATGTGAATAGTGATTAGCAATGAGGAAGGAAAAAAGAAGGATAGTGAGAAGGAAAAAGATGCGGGTATCGGATGGGTAGAATAGTGAGAATAGAAAGAACTAAGTGAAGAAACTTCTTCATCATCTTTCATCTAAATTACCACAATGCTTGCCTTCCAATTCACAAATGCGCGACTTATATTGCGCGCACATGTAAATAAAAGTAGCAAGCAGTATAAAGTGTATATCTTCCCGAAATAACAAAAAAATCAAAAACTGATTGTCAAATTTAATGTTGTTTCTGCAATACAAGAACAATATTTTTGTTCCATTCAAGGGKATTTTATACATGATTCTCGGGCAGAAAATTAGGAAAGATGTAAGATTTCAATTTACAGCATGGACATCTCTCCTCAATGATATTATAAGGTTTATGAAAGAGTAAATAAAAAAACTAAAAAAAAAAATAATAATATAATAATATCACTTGAGGCTTCATAAAATTACTATATTTTACAAGTGGATGATTGTAAAATAGTTCTTATTATAGGGCTATTAGTAAGCTATCTAGTTTACTGATGGCTTTTTTGGGAGAGCTTTTTTAAGCTAGCACCAGTCAGCAGTATAGTCAAAATCAGTGAAAAGTCCCTGAAAGATAAAACAAAATTGAAGGACTTAGCAGTGATTTCTAGGTGCGCAATCAAGAACACAGACTGTGGTTTGTGTTGATGATGGTGCAGGTGTTGTTGTCTGGTGTTGCTGGTGCTAGTGTTGTTTTTCTTACAGCCGTTAGTAGCATCAATCACGATCTTGATTAACACTGATAACGGCTGTGAAGATTAATGCTGTTGTGTGATGATAATGAAACATGGTGATGATATTGATAACACATGATGACACATGATAGTGATGATAATGATGACACATGATGGTGATGGTGATGACAATGATAACACAAGAGGATGATAAATGTGACACATAATGGTGATGACACATGATGATAGTGACTAAAGGTGATGATGATGATGCCACATGATGATAATGATGACACATGGTGACGATGATAACGATTCAACAAAATGGTGACATGGTAATGATGATGAGTTGATGACGCAGTTGTTTGCAACAACGAATATAAAGCCTTAAATACTTTACTACTGATGATAATGATGATGATGGTAATGATGTTGGCAGCAACAGACTTCAATAATGTTATTGCGAATAGTCAAGATATAACCATACATGTACATACCTGCTCTTCAATACTTAGCGATCTGGCTTCCTTTGGAGGGGTAAGAACCGGTTCTTCTGAAGTAAACTCTTCATCGAAATTACTGACATCTTCAGCGTGTTTCTGTAGTGAAAAAAAAACCAACAAATCTTTACAAGAACATCGAATACACTGGACCCTGATTCTCAACAAAGCACAAGTACGAGAGACGTCTTATTCCCGCGAATGGGTACTCATAATTGCGTCGTACTAAAAGCTAAATCATGTATATACAGCTTTTTCGATAAAGCTTGGCGAAGGTTTTTTTTTTTGCATGTAAGCGAAAGATCACAACAAATGCAACAAAACATTCTCCAACCTTTTTCAAATAGCTGTGTATAAAGGTACACGAAACTCGAAAGAAGAGGCCTAACGTAAGGGGTTTGCGCGAGAAGTTGGTCTATGCTGCACTTATTTAAGGTTTGCCTTCTAGTAGCCAATACGTGAAGAAAAAAAAAAAAAAAAGAAGACACGGCAGTTAAACTACTTACTACTGTAGGAACGAAAGGGGGCCGAACTTTTCTAGCCAGTAGGTCTTCCCATCTGACGTCCTACAAAAGAAAAATAGAGCATTTAAGACCTTGGAAAATTTGCACTCATGAGAGCCAAACAGACATGGAGGGGCATATCACTTCAATTGTCACTTACGTCATTAATAAAAGATATCGATCAATATTTTATTTACCCTAAAGAATGGTTGTTTCTTCACGTCCTCGGCGTCTTTCTCGGTTGCACCTAGCCGACGTTCAGGGTTTCGTCTGAGAAGCTGTGACATAAATAGAAACAAATAATGAGCTAACGACACAGGAATCCTAATATACTAATACGTAGCGAGCACGGGAAGTATTACATAGACGTATATAGCACCCCTAGCACCCACGTCCAAGGGCGGATCCGGGGGGGGGGGGGAGCAAAGGGGGGCTGAAACCCCCCTTCAGCAGAAAAAAACGATGCTTTTTTATTGTTTTCCGTTGTGTTGACGGAAGAAACTCAATTAGCCCCTCCCCCCCTAAAATTTTTTCTGGATCCGCCCTTGACGTCCCAGTATTATCATTTTTATTCATCATTTACGTACCCGTCTCATGATTGCGATGGATTCRGTCGATAAAAACCGAGGGTAACGAACTTCATCGTTTACGATTGAGTCGAATACTTCCTCTTCATCATCGCCAGGGAAGGGTGACTGCAAGCAAGATGAAAACAGTCAGGCAAATTAGCAACAGATGGAATGGTCTCTACTATATTTGCTTTAAAAATATATTTTGAAAGACGTTAGACCTCACCTCTCCTACTAACATCTCGAATATTAACACTCCTAATCCCCACCAGTCTACTGCTCGTGTGTACGACGTCTCAGTTAGTACCTAGGATAAAGGTATTATTAGAATAAATTACTACAAATGACAAACAGAATTTACAGCAATTTTATGGGCAGAAAGTTTGGGAGGGGAGGGGGGGATTGGCACCCAAATCCCCCTCCCTTTTGGAGTTGGGAAAAAAATAAAAAATAGAAAATAAAAGATAGGGATATAAGATAGGACGCTATGTGATGCCTTTCTTAACGGTCACCCCCTTGAATTCGTTCTGGATCCACCATATTGAGAAGACTTATCTAGGCTCTTTTCTAAACGATGTTGGTATGAAAAATATTTGCTCTCAATAGATTACTCGCATGTGACGTCCTCCAAATTCAGCTGCATTTCGATATACTGCAAGGTGTATATTGTATATTAAATAGGGGTAGGAGCGCCAATATTAAGGATTTCCCTAGATTTCCGCAGAAGAGGGAATGATATTTACCTCTGGTGCGAGAAACTCTGGTGTCCCACAAAACGTCCCCGTTTTTGCGCCATAACCCATGCCTTCTTTACAAAGACCAAAATCAGCTATCTTGACGTAACCTTCTGAGTCCAGCAGTAAATTATCCAGTTTTAGATCTCTGTAGACGATCTCGTGGTCGTGTAGGTACTGTAGTCCCAGCACTACACACGCTGTATAAAAACTAACACATACATACACACAATACCTTAGTACTTGTTGATGAAATCATGGAAATAAAAGGGTTCTAACAGTGGTTCCACAGAGTTCAAATATAAGACTTAGAAGTTGATTTTTGCGAAGAGAGGTTTGAAGTTCTCACCACTGCTCCACCCCGTTCTCAAATTAGACAAGGCACTAGGTCCAGTTTGCGAGGTCTATACGGTGGTATATGGACCTAGGGTCTGACCAATAAGGGAGCACACTTATTATAGATGAAGATAATGGAATAGTTTAYTTACACAGTCCTGGATTCCGAGAAGACATCAGCATGTATATGCATCATGAGATCGCCACCAGGCGCGTATTCCATTACAAAACACACGTGCTCCTATACAATGAAAAATGAATAAATTAACTGAATGAATCAGTGGATGGATGGAAAGATGGATGGATAGTGGATGAATGAAGGGAAGGAGGGAGGAATGGATGGATGGACATGGATGAACAAAGGATGGATGGATGGATGATTGTGTCCAATAGATGGATGGATGGATGGAAAGATGGATGGATGGAAAGATGGATGGATGGATGGATCGTGGGCAAACGAAGGAAAGGAGGGAGGAATGGATGGATGGACATGGATGAACAAAGGAAGGATGGATGGATGATTGTGTCCAATAGATGGATGGATGGATGAATGGATGAAAAGATGGATGGATGGATGGATTGAAGGGAGGGAGGAGTCGGTGGATGAAAGGAGGGAGGAAGAAATGGATAATTGGATGGGGGAATGGATGAACAAAGGAAGGACAAATGGATGATGGTGTTCAATAAAAGGATGGATGGATGGATGGAAAGATGGATGGATTGATAGCATAACATGAAGTGATAATAAAATTCTTCAAATGACAAAAAACTTACTTCAGTCTGAAAGCAGGCGAACAAATTAACAAGAAAAGGGTGTCTTGTTTTGTTAGCAGTGAGAAAGATCCTCTTCTCTGCTAATAAACTAAAAAAAGCAAAGAAAAATAAATCATTAACACTGGTCAAGCTTGACCGCAGAAAATAATGACAAACCAACAAAATGAACAGCCATAGATCCCTTGCATTGATTTCCTAGAGGAATAGACCTCTTCGGCTTGGGGTAATGTTGTCCCATTTCAGACCACGTGTCATTCCCTTGAGAATAAGATTCTTTGTTCGAGTTGTATCCATATTCATGTGTCTTCTCATGTGCAACTGAGCGCAAACCTTAAACAAAGAAATTATACTCTAGGGAATGACACGTTGTCTGAAATGAGAAAACATTACGTCAGAGCCGAAGAGGTCTATTGTTCTGGGGACAAAAAAATAGGCCATCTTTTCTTATGCAAAAAAATCCATTGTTTTGTCTCTCAGAATAATTCCTCTAAGGACTCAGTGCAAGGGGTCTATTCTATGGTTGTTCTCCAAATAGTCTCAAATGATTGGGTAGATGTAGCTTGCCTACCTTTCCACCTCCTCCCTTGCTATAATATCTCCTTTTTTCAAAGCTTTTATCGCAAATAGCTCGTTAGTGTTTCTGTATTCTCCCAATATAACCTACAAGTAAGAATAGATTGATTGAAGGGCAGACATTAGCTAACCAATGAATATAAAATCTTGTCCCACAAACAAATAAGACAAGGATTACGATGCAATTTGTTATTATTTTCACAAGACAGTCAATCATTGACACAATTCATAATCGATTTTCTGCAATTGGAATTTTAAATTCTGAGATATTCTAACTTATTTGTTGAGCTTTTTAGACATAGCAACGGTAATAAAGGGTAGTCAAAACCATGAATTACAGTCATTGCTCCTTCATATTATCTTACCTTGCCAAAGTGGCCTCGCCCTAATACACTAATACATCTAAAGTTTTTTATTGACATATGACTTGAATTCACTGGCGAAGGAACCCTGGAAGATATAATCACACAATGTTACAATTCATCATTTTTTTTACTTGAAACACATTTGGTTTGAGTGGGTTCCAGAAGTGCTTTCATTCCAGTGCTTTCCATGTTGGTCAAGTGTGGTGTCACACTCTTTGAAGGCACTGGAGCAAGTGGGACTCAGATACCCAGGTTACATTTTAGTGTCATGCAAGAGAGCTGATATTCTTCGAGAAAGAGGTGTATGATACCCAGAATACAAGTTAGTGTCTTGCAAGAGAGTTTGTATTAATGGAGGTAGATGTGTCGGGGAACATGTAAGTATTATGCCAGGTATAGTAGTAGATATTACCTGTGCCGGACAGGGATAGGAGGGGGTGGTCTTGTTTTGACAGGAGCTGATGGTGGACTCTGGGGACTGTCCAGGAACCCAAAGGCTGACAAAGCGTCCTGTGTATGTAAAGAGAGAATGAATTTATTCCACTGCTGTTGAACATTTCCATCTCACAAATGAAATTAAAAATGAGCATGTTGGGGTTTGCAGAGGTAGAAAAGCTCAGGTCTTTCTTGGCGTTGCAAGATTTATTGTATTCTGGGTTGCGATTCTTCGTACTGCAAGGTATTGTTTAGCTCATTGTTCTCAGCTATTGTCTTCATGGCTCAGGTGCCCTGCAACACCTAGAAAGAGCCAAAAGCTCTGCTCACATGTGATGCCGAGGCCAGGACATGAACCTGAGACCCCAGAGGTGAGACACCATACTTAATCCCATACCTGTACTTCTCGTTCTGCTGGTCTTTTGGGTGTGGTTTTATTATTATGTGGTACTTGGTAGGTATTGGGAGACATAGCTTTTGATGGACCTTTAGATGCTTCAGGGTTGTAGGGCTGTGGTCTTGGTGGTGTGGTCACATTACTAGCAAAAGGTTGACTAGAAGATCTACTAAGAAGAAAGATATTGCAAAATATGATTCATTATTTATGGAATAATCTTCACGTATTCTTGCAGTTATGTTATCAAAGGTGTATTCGTGATATAAGCAGATGATGTTGATCCTTGACAGGCTTTTATCTCAAGGTTCACATTCCAGCCTGAACCCCCTTGGCACACCTTCCGCACCCCTCTACACMACACCTGCACTCCTCCTGCACCACTCCTGCACCCCTCCTGCACTCCTCCAGCACCCCTCCAAAAAGGATGAACGATACACCCAATCCCCTTAATCATATACCCACCCCCACTGAACATCAGGTGGAATTCCCACAAGAAAAATATGTTTTGAGTTCAATGCATTTATGTTTCTACTCAAGTCTATTGCTTCATTTCATTTCTCGTCTGGCATCATTTTCTGTCTCATACAGAATGTTCATCAGCTGAATCACAAGCTTTCAATAGAATTCTCTCTGGCTGACAGCAAATGGTAATGTGTTTGGCCACTATTTTGGAGCAGATAACGAGATTCAAAGACTTTTATAGAGCAATTATCAAGACCCAGYGATTAGTTAAAATGACACACACACAAAAGAAATACATTAGAGTAATATTAGGAAACTGTCACTCACCCTGTTGATTGGGTAGGCTGGGCACTTGAATTAGGACTGAGTGCAGTGTTGTTGGTTGTACAATTTGTTGGAGCTGCCCTCTTTAATAGCCTGGCCCATGTGGCTACATTGGTGTTCATCTGACCAGCACGTAAGAAGTTTTTTCCTGTGTGACAAAAATCATTACAAGCTTTAATATCGTACTCAGTGTAGTGTGTTTCAATGATGAAATGATTACAGTAATCTAACAAAAAAAAAAAAAAGAAAGAAAAGAAAAGACAGGGAAAATATAAAAAGCACTAAGCACTTATTTTATGGCTTTATATTGTTTTTTTCTGTTGACTAAGACACAGCTGCAATGACTGATAGATCGTTTAAAAAATTTGTAAGAAGACTAATGTAGTAAACACAACTTATGTGTGGCCGTGATTTGATGTGTTGTGTTGTTTGCATTGCATGAGTCTGTTCAAAGGGAATGAAAAATGCAATCAGATGCTGAAAAGGAAGAAGTAAGCATGGAACAATGGAAATCAAATGGTCCATTTAATTAGTTTTAGCAAGAGAAAATATAAAAACGTTTCAATGTTAAGAAAGGAAAACCAACAACAATGTCAAACGGCTGTCAATAGTAAAATCACATACAGTTGATGATTTTATCAGTTTCTACCATCTCATTTGAAACGTTGGCTCTAGCAAGTAACTCTACAGGGGCCAGATTTGTTTGAGACAGATTATGTCCTAGCAGACATCAAGTCTGTATAAACATGGGCAAGTGAAGAGCTATAGCACATGGTTATAACAAGATTAATGATGCTTTGGGATCTAGAAAAGTAGCTTACGATGAGTTAAAATTTGACTGAAGCATGAACAAAGTGACAAAAAACAATACATGGGTTTTTTAAATAATTATATTTTTCTACAACAAAAAGGATTTTTATAAATCAAATGGCTTTCCTTGTCTAATATCAAAAATAAAAGCTTTAGTAGTAAAAAATATAAATAGTGTCTATTCATAAAATGCATTCCCTTGAAATTTTCATAAAGTATTATTGCTTTTCAATAATGGGATTAGGAAATTGGAAAGACATTTTTGAAGATGATTATAATAAACATTTTTGAATATGATCTTTCCAAATCAAATCAATGTCTCTTAATATTTAAGAAACGGATCGCTAAAGAAAACCAAGAACAAAACTAAAGCTGTGTTTTAGCAAAATTCACTTGGTTAGTACAAAGGATGAAAAATTATAATATTTGAGAACAGTACTAAATATAGAGGTGGAGGTGGTCTTCAAGAAGTGAATTAGTTCTAGTGAGAAGCAATAGAACTGCAGGTAATTTCAGGTCAACCTGACACTCTTCCACACCAAGAGACAATCATCTTTTATCAAATACTGTTATGAACATATACACACATGTACAAACATGTGAACACTAAAAACATATTTCAAATAACAATATACTACTCTCCTTAATGCCTAAAGGTAATAAGACCATTAAATTTCTTCAATTTGACACAATATGGCAATACATTGCTTACCTTTGTGTATATGAAAGAGCTTTTTTTGTCGTTGTAGTTTAGGTTTCCTTGTAACCATTGGATTCAAGAAGGTTACCTGATTGGTACATTTGAAAGGAAATAAAAACATGTCGTCAAGATGTCTCATTCCATAGGAAATAAGAATCATATATACAACTAGATACTCTTCCCATTGTATTGAAAGTGTCTTATACTATAACAAAGGAAACAGGGAGGGAATGGGGGCTAGGATGTTAATTATTAATCTTTTGCTAATATTATATTGTCTGGTGTATTTTGGAGCAACAGGTGGGAAAGAGAAATTCTCTTTTAAAACAAAACTGCTAACTAAAATATAAAAGAAAAAAAATATTATATACGACAAGCTAAAGCCTACAACTATTGCTCTATTAAACCAGTGAAATTATAGACATCAGTTTGACTCTCATTAGGAAAAAAAATCAATCTATTCTGTTTTGGTAGTTTTTTTGCAACCTTAGTTTTTGTTACTCAAAAAAGGAATTACTCAAAGAAATTATCACAACAGGAAGAGAAGAAAGGGAAAAAAAAGGAAAAAAAAAAGGAAAAAAAAAGGAAGAAAAAAGGAAGAAAAAAGGAAAAAAAACAATATCGTACTAGCACATTAAGTTCAACATGGCCTGAACTTGAAGCAATCGTTTCATGGTTTCTTTGCAAACTAAGGGACCTTGACTCAAGAAGTTCAAAAAGGAACTAAAAACTTATTTATTTGCTTTTGCTTTTGCTTGAATTTCGGAATTATATGTGTACCAATACTATTTATTATTATTATTTTTTCTTAATCAGCTAAGAGTAGGTTTAATTAACATTAAGTAGTTTATATAGGGTTTTCTATTCAAATATTATCATTATTTATTATTGTTTTTATAATTTTCTTTTTAGTAGTTTTAGATTTTTAATAGATATATGTTTAATTTTATAGGCTTATAGTTTTTTATATAATATAGGTTTTAGTAGCACATTTGAAAATGTATGTTGAATTTACGCTTTATAAATGAATTTATTATTATTATTATTATTATTATTATTATGGTCACTCCAGCAAATTCCAGATAGGACTATTGTTTTTTAAAAAAGGTATGCATGAATAGAACAATTATTAAGAAATATTTCAAACATTCTTTTAGGAGGAAGTCAGTGTCTGAACACACCTGAAGCATGAATAAAGATAAACTAGACAAGAGTTCATTACTGCATCTGTATTATTCATACAAAGAAAGAGAGAGAAAGAAACAGATTTGGGAGCACATGTTTAGTCTTTGTCTTCAATAAATAAAGAAAAGGATAAAGAGATAACTGCTGGCTTTTTGATGAGAAACCGCTAGGATACCAGCCATCATAACTAAAGGAATTTTCAACATTAATAATTATACTATTAATTTTCTGKTTTTTTTTTTAATGCTACATTTTTTTATATTTCTTTGTTAAATTTTAATCTTAATTTTGATATTTGAGTATACAGGTTTTTTAATCAAGAAATCAAAATCACAATCTTTCATTTAAAAAATTTATTTGTTTGAGATTGATGCTATAGAGGCACAARAACCTCAAAAATGACTTAACATTTGTGTTTACGATATTTCAATATCCTTCAACTATAACAGATAAGGAATTTTAGGCCCTTAGCAATGCCATTAGAGTGTAGACTCTGATGTCATATCTTACTTCCTAGTGATTAGTGTGTCTGCTAGTCTATTTCTCAGACAATTTATAACTTCCATAATCTAAACTTCAACAATTCACAATTAGATATTATTCAAACTTTCCATTAATTTTTGTTATTGCGTTATTAGAGTAAATGCAACTCGTTAGAATCAATGATGAAGTAATGAATTTTGGGAAGATTTTCAGACCTATAAAAGTCAATGAATTATGGAAATAATATGATTAAAACAAAATAGCCAGAGTACATGAGATATAACATCAAGTGTGATCATTTCAAAATTATTTTTTTGCCAAGGGCAAAGGTGGGAGAAACCTTGGTTATAAATATAATTTATTATTTCTAATAATTAAAATGTACTCTACAACATCATTACTAAGTAAAGAAAATAAATAATTATGCCTGATGTTGGAAATATACTACAAATGGACAAAAAATCGAAAATTATGTTGCAATAAATCGACAATAAAACCAAAAAAAGAAAATTACAATTAGCCATCATTTCATTTAATAAGAATAAAATAAAAAATAGAAATAAAATGAAAGTAACCTAAAACGCTGGGAAATAAAAAAGCCTTGGGGCACGTCAGATATGTCTTCTTCAATAGTTTACAATGTAAGTATAAGGAAGTGTACTGAGTCTGAAATAATCACCACTTATTCAATACTTTATGCATAAAATAAGTAATTTGTCTGCGTCAAAAGTATTGCTATTTATATACTAACTTATTCAACAGACACCTTATTATCTTTTTAGGGAAGCATTTTTCCAACTTGCTGAATTCTATAGTTTAACACGCAGTAGAATCTTGAAGAAATGATTTGGAAAGGGAAATTTTTTGACARCAAAATAATTAGGTATACTTAATTAATATTTGGTAATGACTGCATAGAGATGTGAGCAAGATTTACTGTAGTCAGGCAATGAAATAAAAACAGGAATATGAAATGTTTTTCGCAAGATAAAAGTTTAAACAATGACGATAAAATTATCAATGAAAAAAAACCTACAGTCAATGAAAAACAAACACACTCTATCAATGAATTTTAAGTATGTACATCTAAAAGTGTATTTTATAATTTAGAAGGTACCTTTTCGTAGAGGTCATAGGAAATTCTTCTTATTTTCCAAACCATGACTCGACATCTCCGTAAGGATGGAAGAATGATATCCTGGTTTTTTCTTTTGATTCGAATGCAAAATTTATCCCCATAAGCACAAAAAGTTCTCTTTTTCGGAGGAGGAACTCCATCTGTTTCTTCTTTAGAGGCTATTTTAGTTTGTATAATTTTTTGTTTATCCTTTATGGGTTTAGTTTTTTGTTGTGCTGGTGTCTTTGACGTGACTCGTTTCCTTCTGCGTTTGACATAAATGTTTCTTTGAGGAACACGTCGAGCTTTTCTGGGTTTAATTTGATTATAAGTCCTCTCGCTGGCACTACTACTTAACACCACAGCACTGTGTGGTCGTACCGGCCTGGAATCTCGAGAATCAGAACCTTTCCTGATGAATTTTGAACTATTTTCTTGGTTATCTATCTGTGATCTTGAATCAAGTACCGCAACACTCTTGGGTCTTGTATGAGGTTTACTAGACTTAATCTCTTTTTTGGACGACCTTGGTGATAAAGGTGTTAATATATCTCCAGATTCATTTTTTGTTTGGTTTCTAATATTGTCCTGGATTATTTTATGTAAGGGATTGAGAGGACCTTTTGCAGACTTGCTTAAGTTTGGCTTCGGGGATTCTAAAGCGGAACTCTTCGGCCTTGAGGGGTTTTCAGTTTTTGTTCTAGATCTCCTCCTCTCACTTATATCTACAGCATGACTTTTTGGCCTAGTTCTTGGACTATGTTTTCTGTCGTCAACTGAATCAGCACTATGACTAATCTTACTGCTAGCCTTCAAGGTCCCAATGTTAGTAGACTTTACTTTTCCTTTAGGTGAATGAGAACAAGGTGAATCAGGAGAAAAACGACCTCCTTGAGTTGAAGGGCTTTCTTTTTTTCCAATCAATTCACATGAGTGCGAAATCCTACTATTTTTTATTCCTCCATGTCTTTGAATTAAGCAGCTCCTGTCAAACCGTTCGCCTGAATTAGCATACACACTGGTCACTCTGTTTGAGCATTTACCTTTTCTGGACGCAGGGGGAGATCCACTGGGAGATGTAGTTATATTTTCTGTTGAGCTTTTTCCTTTACTTGTGGTAGACAATCCTTTTGAACTATCTTCCTTATGAAAAGGGGAATAAATATTTTCAACAGAAACAGGAACATATTTGCCAGTTCTAAATGGCGGGAGTTTCTTTGCAGTATCGCTGATAGATTTTTCATGTGTTCCACTCATACGATGTGACTTGTTTAAAATTCCTTGTTCATTATATTTACTTTGGCAGCTGTTTTCTTTCTTTGGGGAATCTTTTTGCTTCTTAGGAGGGATTCTCTGCTCCCTAGGAGAACCTATCTTAGTTCTGTCATTCTTGTCAGACTCTTGATCAGCCATGTTATTTGTTGAAGGAATACACCCTTCATTAGATGTGTTATTCTTGATTTCATGACTATCTCCATCATTACTGCTAGCCATTCTTGGGTATAGATGAATTACAATCAAGTTAAAATATTCTGGGGCTGTGGTTGAGTTTTTTTCTTGCAAATATACATATCTTAATAACTCAAACCACTCGAACTCAGTAAACCACAAAKCAATTCTCCTCTTCTTGAATGGGGATTTTCAAATCCAATCTCAACATGGCTAGGGGGGATGTTTCTGGTTTTTTTTGAAGCCTTAGACAGATCAATTGATCCTCCACACTATGATGATTTTCTTGGCTCAGTGATCATAAGTAGAAATAATATAGTCCAAGCAATCAAAACATAAGGAATTCCCCTCTTGAATTAAAAGCATCTCCAAGATGAATGATCACAATCCTTGGTCAAAGACCTGGGCTCTGTGCTTATTAAATATTCTGTGCTCAGGTAGGCATTCAGAAAAATCGCCTTTTATGAATCAACATGCCTTGTAAAAGAGTTCTCATAAAAACCATCCATTGTAATCATTTGACAGAATATTTGATGAGGTGAAGACCATAAGATCTTCTACGAATCAGCCAGTCATATTGTGGCTTTAAAGTGTTTAGCCAAACCAATCAGACCACATCCTCAAAGAAGGGACCACCTGCCAATCACCTGTTATCTAACACCTCCTATTGGTTGAAAATCAATGAGGCTGCCAAGAAAGCTATTCAAGTGTGCACCTGCTGTTGTTAGTCTCATATTTATGCAAATTCATTCAGGGATCAGAGGATTTTTTTAACCATCTTTCATACATTCATGATCTTACTTAATGCTTACAAAAAGTAAACAAAAAAACCATACAAAATTAAAAAGAAGTGTAACAAAAAGATTTCTTGTCAAAAATTTTTCAAAAAAACAAATATGAAAATAAGTTCTCTTTTTAAATTTGCTGTATCAAAATTGGTCACAGAAAAAAAGAGAGAAAAAATCTAGGATTGGGGATGCAAATTCTTTGTCTAAGAAAAGGAAGAAAAGCTGACAAGCTACAGATATTAATTTATTCTTAGGATGTTTCATATTGATGTTTCTGTGATCAGAATAATGTACTTCAAAAGATTTCAACAATATTTCATGGCAAGCCCTTATCTTGTTGAGAATAGGAGTAATGACCAATATAGCAACACAATACTCATGTTTTGGTTTTGAAATGGCCACCAGGAGTGCCTTAGTGATATTTTGTTCTTAAAATGCTGACAGCTTTGTAACTTATGTATAATCTCATTCCGGGAAGCTATTTATAGTATACACACTAATTAATGATGTTACTTTGAAGCATTAAAAAGGACGCTCCATGAGAGTATATTCAGTATTGCTGTAAATGTAAGAATGTAGTTCCATGTCCATAAATAACATTCAGTTTTTCAATACTCTTCACTACAGGTGTAATTAGACTCCACATGTAAACCCATTCCCTTTATAAATAAGTATGAAACCCTAAGATATTAGATATAAGATAGACAGTAAATATGAATTCCTAAGATAATAGTCATAGCAATTCAATGAAATATTATCAGGCTATCAATTCATAGAAATTCAATTCTTATGAAAAATATATACTAGAAATCCAATTTATAACATTCTAGTTATGAATCAATATAAAATATACTGTATATTAGCTACAGCTGTGAGAGAAATCTGGATTGAAAGAGCAATCTTAATCTTAGTAAATGTATCAATGGTTGTAAAAAGATTACTAGCTATCTGATAGAGCAAATTACTGCAGCAAATGTATTGCCATTCAAGAGATAAAATAACAATTTTAGGTTTAGCCTTTTAGGGACAGAAGTTAAGATTATTATCATATAATTATCTTATTATTAGAAATTCCTGCATTGAATATTATACATTCTACCAAAATAATAATTATTATTATTTGAAAGTAAGGATTATTATAATTAATAATCAAAATTATTTTTTTTGTTATAATCTCTATAGATTTTTGGTTTAAGAATAGTTAAGAATCTTTGTCATTAAAAATAGAAATTGTGGTAAAATTGAAGCACTTTAGGATTTAAAATATTTGTTTGAATATTTTTAGACTTTTTACCACATAGAGATTTACCATTAATTTGTTATAAAGCTAAAATATAATATAGTTCAGTGAATAATTTTAGGCTGGGATAAAACTTCTGATTTAAGCTCACTTAAGTTTTAAAATTAAGTTTTATTTCGTCAGTCAAGTGATTATAATTAATTGTTCTGTCATTTTTATGGTCAAATGAATTCAGTCAATGAGTTCACATGTATTTGAAACACTCACAATGGGATAATTAATCTTTCAAATAACTCACAAAGAATTTTTCTTTGAATTAAACGTATGCTTCATTATCCTTTACGAACTGTCTATAAAAGTGGCTATTCAAGATTGATAATTGATACCACTTAAGATAGTTAGGATATTGGGAAAGCAAGGGTATTGGGATTCTAGAATATTGAGATAATGGATTAGTCACACTAAAAAACGTAAATAAAATTTCTCAATTATTTCATACTAAAAAACATTTTCTGTGTGATTTGGTCTTATTTTTGAAAATAAAGAGTTGGATGGAATAATTTGTTTGCAAATAGAGCAAATCAAACTCGATGTAATAAAACATTAAAAAATAAGTGATATTTTAAGGTGTGTATCTTAGGGTTTTCATTAAGTCTTAAAATGATAGGTCTGAAGAGATCACGAACTAGCTAGCCAGAGGGTCCTGGCAGGGTTTTCTTTAAATTATGAAATAATAGAACGATATTGCTCAGTTACCAGAACATTCTCCTACTTATATTTTCGAACTCATCATAAGAATGGTGTAAAACTGAACTTTTTTTTTTACAAAAAATATTTAGCAAAATTTAATAATAAAAAAAACCCACCCTTGATAACTACCGACTAAGAGGCAAGAATTGGATATACACTATGAAAAATTAATATTCTAAAAAAGTATTTTTTAAAGACAATAATATTGTCTTTGTATTTTTGGTTATGATTCACATCGCAGAAAAAAAATCCTGTATTTCAAACAAATGTAATCAAAATTTTTGAGGGCTAAAATAATGGCTGCTCAATATCCAAACATCCTGGCTGGTAATTCAAACCTCTCTTATACATAGCTAAAAATAATGGTTGTTCAATGGCCAGACATCAAGACTGATAAACATGTAACCAGACAATGTGGCTGGTTAAGAGGATCAGGCTAAGAGGCATCTGGCTGGACATGATTTCCATTGATCAGTCATTAATTTTAAGCCCTGGTTCGAACTTGAAAATTGCTTTTAATTAATATGAGAGATAAGTAATACCATCCCTTACCTCAGCTAGTAAGGTTCCTTGAGGTTCTAACTGGACTTGTATCTTGTGTTGTTGATTGTCTACAAACTCTTCCAGTCGGACGAAAGCTACTCCRCAGAGTGAACGGTGATCTCTCCAATGTACTCCTATCTCTAATTCTCTAGACTAATGATATAAACCAAATATCATTATAAAATGACTGTCTGTTGGCTGGGGGCATATGCTATGTGCAGCTATAAAGCACTTGGRGATTGGTGGAATGCTCAAGCTAGTGCTGACAAGAGAAGTGCAGGTAGAGAGGGCCTTACATCCCCCACCACCACTGGCCTTCCATTTCAACCCACTGGAATGTCAGTATCAAACAGTGATGGCTCTGAAAGGGTGCAAAATAATTTTTTTACCTTGTCGAGTTCGATAGTGAATTGTTGTTGCCAACATTTATCCCCTAAAGTAACCCAGCTGGTTTGTCCAACAAAAGTGTTATCTAATTTAAGGACGGCACATAATTCATCTAGAAATGATACGAGAGAAATGCATTAGAAGTACACATTAAAGGTTTAAAAGGTTTGCCAGAAATAATTTGAGGAATCTCTCCTTACAGTTTGCGTCAGTTGATGATATTAATGATGTTCATGATTGTGATCATGATCATGATGATATCAATGATGATAACAATGGTGAAGGTGATGAAATGATGACAATGCTGATAATGAATCTCTCCTTACAGTTCGCGTCAGTTGATGATATTAATGATGTTCATGATTGTGATCATGATCATGATGATAACAATGGTGAAGGTGATGAATTGATGACAATTCTGATATCTACAGCATATAGGTAATGCAGCTGATTATGAAAAGCTACTACTCTTGTTGTTGATGATGACAAATGCTGATAAATGGTGTGCTCCAACATCGTGAGCTCAAACATCGTGAGCTCAAATCAAACGTTCAAAAGTTGGCAGTCACCTTTATTGTGATGTCATCAATGATGCACATGTACTAGGATCATTCCCMCATACAAACATCTACTCTAACTACTAGCAATGCTAAGGTAACTTACTTGATAAACTGTCATCTACATTCCATTTGTTGTAACCACTTTTTCGTTTACTTGATCCAGGGCGTGCATCTAGCTTGCCATCAGGACTAACCATAGCTAAACTAGTTGTTTTTCTTGGGTCTCTATTGGGTACCACAGTTAATAGTTTTTGTGCTCCAATTAAAACAACCTACCAATATGAAAAAAAAAAAATTAATAAACATAATACCGAGAATGTGTATTGTTCTACCTAAAGCTGCTGACAATTAAAACGACCTACCAATGTGAAAAATTGAAATGTCTTAGTTCGCAGAATATCTATCATACACATGTATTTATATATATTTGCAGTAATGGGATAGGGAGTGAACTCCCTCTTTTTTTGTAACTCAGTAATGGGTTTTCAAAGTATTGGAACACAGAAATCGTGGGTGACATGCTTGCTAAGAAAAGCTTGTCCTAAGACATAGCTTTGGAAATTGAAATTTTATCCTTACTTATAGACTTTTTGTATTGTTTTTGGTTTCCTGAGTTTAAAAAAATGATGCTTTAAAGTCTAACTTGGGTACAAAAAAGTCATGTTGAAAAGAGAATGTTTATACCCAAGCTAGACCACAATGCAACATTTCCACTCTTAGAATTTCATCTCTACAAAAATCTTACTAAACAAGTATAAGTCTGACCTAAATCTTTGATGAATTTCTTCAGCATATCATTTAAAATCTTTGCACTACACAGAATATAAGTGTGTTTATAATTTACCAGGTTTCTCATACTCTACTCACATTCAATTGCCCTGTAAGAGCAGCAGGTTTCGTTATTGAAGAATATTGTTGTCTCCCAAGTCCCACAGCCTTACGATCAGCATATGAGGGTGGTGTACCAAAGCCTTCATCCTTGTAGATTCCTATAGCAGCCTGCTCTGGGGATACTTTTGGCATCAGCTTCTCCAGAGAACATTGTAATAAGTCTAATTTTTGACTAGATTCTTGCAGTCTTCTTTCAGCCTTTAAGAGACAAAAAATTCACTCATTTCCAAGGTGACAGGCCTTTCCCGAATTCACTTCAGTGACTGAAGCAACCGTACAACCAGGCCCTGAAGACGACTGCCACWGCTTCAGTCAAAATGTCATATTTCAAAAACCATTTTTAAATGGGTAAAACTGTCTCTTTGATATTATGTCAAGTGGAATAAATTTTCATGACTTACCTCTTGTAATCCTTTCTTCTCCTGTCCAGATTTTTGTAAAAATTTAATTATATTTCTTGCACCTTGAATAACCCTAGACTCAATATCAATATGATGCCGAACTTCCTCAACACGTAATTCAATAGGTGACAGTCCTAATGCTGAAGTACTACTTTGTTTACGTGTTCCTACCAGACTTTGTTTTCTGGAACCTTCTTCAGCTAAGGGTGCCGCTTGTTGCTCTCGCAATATTGCCATTCTTATAATTTCCATTTTGGTTTTAGCATCTTCAAGCATTTGCTGTGCTTCTGCAAGCATTTTGGATTTGTCTTTGGTTTTGAGGTTAGTATACATAGCAAGCATGTTCTCAGCGCCTTGTTTTACTTTATTTTCCACTGCCATTTGCTTCTGAAGTGATACTAGCTTTGTGTTTTGGGGTTCATCATTGGCATTACCATTAGATCTTTCTGGTGAGTTTCCATCTTCCATATCAACTAGAAATAATAATGAAACAGTTATCATATATTATACAATAAACCACAGCCACCACCCCCCACCCCCCCCCCCCAAAATGCTGAAGTTCATTATCTTTGATTTCTACGGACAACTCAATGCTTTAGTTTAAGTGTATTGCCCCCCAGTTAGTAGAGTTCTTGTTCTTGACTATAAGTTTGAGACAATAATAAAGTTGTTATCATTGTAATTTAAAATGAATACAAACACTACTAAATTACGATGTTTCAACATCGTCCGATGTCATTATCAAGTAAATTAATATTCAAATGAGAAGCATTTTAAGGTCAATACATGCTACAGTGATTATATACAAAAGGATTATCAACAAAAGAGTTTTGCTTCGATTGAGTCTGATTGAGTTGTTGTAATTATTATTTTCATCAAGGCATTTCATGAAGTGGCTGATTATCAACTGGTTTCTCTGAAGTAACCAGCCACAAGAGTGCTTCAGTACTTTATTTTACTTAAYGGGACAAGTCCCACAACCGATGGAAGAACCCAGTAAAACATGATTGGTTAAAGTAAGGACAATATTACTAGGTATACACAGAAAATAAATATGGGAAAACATAATAAAAACTCACCAAAATAAAATAATAAAAATAAAATAAAATAAAAATAATAATAAAAACTCACCAAATTGAGGACATAGTACATGACACAATACCACATATTAAGCACATGGACACACACACAATGCACAGCAACAAGGAAACATTATATGATAACAAACAAAAATGCAAATCAACATAGACACTGAATGCACACAGAATTTTAAAATCTTAAGTTTCGGCCCAACATTTAAAAACAAATACAATTAAAATTGTCTTGAATGATTATAAGGAGAGTTACTGCATTTGCCCTTTGTTCTTTCATGTTTATCTTCATCTTATAAAACAATTTTTTCAATCTTTTTTGTTCTTTTTAATATTGTGGTCCAAAGAAGACCATGAACCACTCCATTGTGGAGAACAATAATTGTAATATGCACAATGCACAAACAAAGTTAAATGTACTTGGGGAAATAGGAGAGTCTTAAGAATGAAACRGTTATCTCAAGACTATATGGTAACAGATTACACATGAAATCCATCCTTTCAACCTTGGGAACTTAAGTGCAGTTTTGTCTGAGCTGTTCTGTCTCTAATTCAGCCAATCAATGTCTTATTTATACACCACCAATAATAGAATGTGCTTCACAATGTAACRATATACATTTTTTTATCAAGATGACAATAGTATGCCGTACTGGCATAACATTACGTCATTTGTGGTTTCCATAGTAACTATACAGTGTTACAAAATCTCAATAACTGACTATTCGTACTTGATAAATTATTCTGTATTAATGTAGTTTGCTGGTGATAATTGTTAACAAAGTATAAAACCACAACTAATATCGATTCGTTTTCTAAAGAATACTTGACCTTTTTGCTTTAAGAAAAAAATTAAAAATAAACACAAGATAAGGTTACTAAAATATTCCGAAGAGAGCCTTTAAACAAGTATTGAGTGATTGTACAAACAAAATATCACCATATTTATCAAGACTATGGCCAATACACTGCTTTGAATTGATCCTCATATGTACCACCCCCTGTGAAGTGATGAAAATCTATGACTATCTCTTTTATAGTCCTATTAAAATGCCCCCATGATATCAAAACACACTATACTGACTACAATTTCAGAATACGCCAAGTATATGACAAGTGAAATTTTAGTTCCACTATTAACGAAACAGGGCTGAAATCTGCATAGAGAAAAATAAACCACATCCAGAAACGGGACAGTAGCTCAAAAATCATTGCTGAAAATAGTCATTTGTTTTGATGGCATGGCTTATGAATTTCATGATAATCAGCAGTCAGACTGGGCTATTATTGTATAGACTGCAACTATTAATGAAATAATTCTAGAAAACCATCTCATTAAAAATGGTTTTAAAGCTACGTTGGCTAAGAATGCTAAGCCGTGTTCTAAGGTCTTGTTTACCCAACAGCTTAGCGAATATTTCAAACAATTAAATCTGTAATATTTAAAAGACCTTACGACTGATATAGGAAGGGATCTTGTCAATGGTATCAGCTCTGGGCAATTTAAAATAACCCAATAACAATAGGACGAAGTCCTTGATACTTTCAGAGAATTATTTTACACTTGGTATAATACGATGATAATAGAATGTCCTTGAAGAAAGAAATATCGCTATTGGTACTTAAGTATAATGTAATTAAGGAGCTGATGATAATTTTTTGAAAGTAAAGACGATCCAATGTAAAGGAAATAACCCACAGACCTTAGAGTTCGACATCGACTTWTTTTTTTTTTGCATATACTTCAGATCTGTAAAAAATCTTTACAATGGTTCACTAAAGGTGTTAATGGCAAAAGAAAAAGCAAGAACAAAGACCTCGAAAACACAGAGATAAAAATCTGGTTTGGTGTTAACACTAAACAGTTGTTAACATTGAATGAATGTAGACGGAAATCAAGGTTATTATCCCTACATATTGAATGCGAGAAAATGGCTGTCGCGATTGTAAACACAAGACAGGTTGGAAAAATTATAGTCCCTGTTGAGAGTTTATGTTAACTTTCTAAACCAAACTGCGTCAATAAAATAACTATTGATTCGTGAGTTTAATTCTTATGGGAACTAAACAATATGAACAAGATAATTTCGTTAAACTATACAGTGAATTTGAGCTAGCATGTTCAGCAAAGTCATAGCAATCAAAACTTGACAGACAAAACTTTACATTCAAAACTCCAGGACATTCACAACAGATTACTCGTATAAAATGATAGGAATTGTCTATGATACTTACACATAGGATCTTCACTAACTCTAGCGTTCAAATCCTGTAATTCTTGGTGCAGATCTTGTAGTTTGGCGCTCGATTCTTTTAAAATTGCGTTGCATTGTGACAAAGATTTTTTATCTGTGGCAACTTTCTTCAAGTTCTCGGCACCTTCTTTTATCTTGAGTTGCTTTCGAATTTCGGATTTGATGATCTCTTTTGAATGATCTAAGTCAGTTCGTATAAGAGATTCAGAACCGGCTCTCTGCATGGCTCGGTGGTCGTCTTGTGTGCTWGTACGACGACTACGGGTTGCATCGTACTAAGAGAAAGAACAAGAAGATTGCCTTTCATTAACTCAACAAAAAACAAGAATAACACAAGAAAAACTACCCATACAGCCCTCAGACTCCCTCTCCTTACCATCATGCTTCCAGTCGGGTGCATCCTATTCCAAATGCATGAAACAGAAGCTGAGTAAACCGAAACAGTCGCTCACAAAGTGGAAGTTGACATCGACCATGACCATTCAACTCCAAATAAAAACTCTCTCTCCTACAAGCAAATACCAAAGTAAACAAGCCTCGTTGGCACCGAAGACTGTTTTCCACGACAAGTAAACTAATTAGGCTCCTTCTCAGAAAACTAATAGATCGTTTGGCACTTTMTGTGAGGTGGCAGCCACCTGGAAAGGGTTTAAAAACGGGTTTACTTCTCAAAATGTCCGGCAGAAATTTTCCAACTTTTGTAATGCGAGGGTAACAACCGAAGAAGGTACACGTCCGAACAGCACCCTGGGTGAAAAAACCTCCATCACGTGATCAAAATGGTATTACCTTGCGTGACGGTAATGCTTTTATACAAAGAAAATACACCAAAATAAACGCTTAAAAAGCTTGCTCTAACCTTCCATATCATATGAACGGAATTGCCATGGACGTGCATTAGTTGCCGACAATTTAGAAATGATAAAGTCTAAGTGCGCCGGGGATTTCCTTACATTTCCGTTTGGTGAGTAATGATTATTTGTTATCTCTGTCATGCAATGGTGTCGTCACGATAGAAGAAAAAGCCCGCCAAACTCTTCGCGGACAAGCTCATACAGAGCTGTAAACTATCGAAGGTTGAACAAAAGTTTTTTTTATAATAGAAAGACTTCCTTATGAGACAAAGATTAGATTGTAAAGCGGTATTACCTTGATCCAAAAGATGGCAACGGACGAGTGATTGTATGTGGGTGTAGTGAGTCAAAATAGTTCATGTTTGACGTCATAAGCTCRATGACTGCGTCAAAATCACTGAACCAAAGTGACACGTGCTGAATATTCGAGTTTTGATCTGAGATCATTGAAGGAATATGTGTGGGAGAACGGCCTGGTGAGTTGAAACATGTAAAAGACACATTCAACTCTAATTTTAGCGATTTAGAATTACTATGCATGTATTCTGAGTTTTGTGACGTCTCCTCCTCCACCTTTAACTCGCTTGTGTTTATACTGTAAACTGTTCTTTGTTGATCAGCACGCTCAATCCCGACGAGATTCCAAAATACTGTCGCTACAGAAGCAAGAGTGGGAAACTGCAAACTCCTCAATGGAAGAAAACTTCGTCTGCAAGCTATTTTCCATCATACAACATCGCACCACAAGCATGCACGTATGTAAATTTGCACAGTACTTCATGGTGAAATTTATATCTCCCTATAGTAAACTTTCAGGCTGGGGGCAGATCTAGGGGGTGGAGGAGGGAGGGGGATTCAAAGCCCCTAAGGTCCCTAAATGTAAATTTGCACACTACGTCATGATGCAATTATCTCTCTATTAGTATAGTAAGCTTTCATGCTGGGGGCTGATCTAGGAGGGAGGGGAGGAGGGGGGTTCAAAGCCCTAAACCACAATACTCAATTTTTCAGTTTCTTTCAGTGCATGACCACGAGTAATAGTTCCAAGCTGAGGCTGGAATTGCAGTGCATAATAAACTGTAAAATGAAGTATTGATCCCCTCAAATACAACTACAAAATCCCTTATTAGATTATCTCAGGAAGAGTATGAAACGCCCATATTGGAAGCTTTAAAAATAAATAAATAAATAACCTTTTGGGAATGACATTTGAAAGTTTGAAATAGGAAAGGGGGTAGAGTGAAACAATGGCAAAATGGGAAGGGTGTGTCGAGCACATGGGAGGTAAATTATTAGTTTCTTTACATTATTATTTTTACACTAAAACAAGAAACATTCACATCTACCCTTTTTCATCCATATGTACATGTTCCAATTTCAGAGATCCAAATAAATTGGCATGTCAAAATTATCGACCCTGTATGTGTGTGTGTATAGATATTATCCTCTAACCTTTATCAAATGTATTTCCCAGTCCAGTCTTGATATCTAGTAAGCATGTACCAAAGACAAGAAATAAGGAAGATGCTGATGATCTGCCAGAGAGGTCGCTACAGGCTATGCGCTGGGGTCTTGTACCTTCCTGGTATAAGGGAGGTCTAAAAGAATTTAGTCTCAGTACAAATAATGCCCGTAAAGACTCACTCACTGAAAAAGCTTCTTTCAAGACTCCTTTGATGAAGGGGAGAAGATGTGTGGTCCTTGCCGATGGGTAGGAATATTGATATTCTATTTCAATGAGTCATCATTTATAATAATGGCCAAAACCAGGTTCTGGACTGCATACTAAAGAATGCAAAATGATTGATGATTTGAAAGTAGTAAATTTGAGGTTCATCTTAATAATAAATTTCACTAATGATAAAAAGGTAAATTATACACCGTGAAAAGATGAAAAAACTGACGTGGTGATTAAACTAGCGCTATATGATCATTCAAAATTTGTTTAAAAWTTTTGAAAAACTTTATGTTCAATATTGGTTTTATTTTTCTTTAGATTTTTTGAATGGAAGTCTGAAAATGCAGGAAAGAAGCAGCCATATTTCATCTATTTCAAGAAAGAAGACCAAAAACCAATATCAAGCGACCAGGATGTCCCAAGAGAAGACAATAAAAGACTCTTGACAATGGCTGGAGTATTCGATTGCTGGAAGCCACAGGTAGGGAATACTTATTTATCAGACATGCTGTATCATGTATTAATTATTTTGCACCTATCAATTTTATGGGGGGAGGGGTGAGGAGGAGCATGGAATGGCAGGTGTACCCCCCTTGGGATTTTTCCTAGTTGCAGTGCAGTCACTTCAAAGAACTTGAAGTTAACATTGGCCGTTTGACATGGACATAGATTTTAGGGGTAGATAATCTTAACGAGGCCTTCCCTAAAATGCCAAGTATTCCTAAGCCCTTGATCTGGCACCCTACCCCACCCCACCCTACTCAAATCTTATTTTTAATAATGTTATTAGCTCATTTATTTCTTCATTTTRTATTTTATTCATTTAGGGTGTGAGTGATGCCGACGATGACAATCTGGTATATTCCTATGCTATCATAACAGTTGATGCTTCATCATCATTGAATTGGCTTCACCACAGGATGCCTGTAAATATAATATTGCTATATATATTTTTAGAGTGAAGGCAGTACAGTATGTAACTTATACTCAGATTTTTTTTGCTCATGGGTGTTGGTCTGTCTGTCTGGGGAGCCATCTCCCACACAATGCAGCTAGGCTGTACTCAGCTGATAAGTAATTTTCAGTCTTGCTTATTCAGAAGATTTTYGTTTCATATTGGTTCCATCAATACAGGCAATTTTGGACGGAGATGAGGCAGTTCAACAATGGCTGGACTATGGAAGTATACCCTATACAAAGGTACGTACTGGTATCATTGTATGATGAATAGCATGTTGCATGGCCTTATATACACCTCCTGTCATGACGAGGGTTGACGATGATGCATGATATAGCAGCGTCATCAACCAATGATCCTTGGAGTTTAATAGCTTGTAAGTTTCAAATATCCTTTTTGTATATTTTCTTTTTCCTTTTCTTTGCTTTCTATTTCTCATCTATTTATGCTCTCTCTTGCAGGCCATCAATCTCTTAAAATCTGTAACTGACTGCTTGGAGTGGCACCCAGTCACTACACAGATGAATAATAGCCGGTATAAAGAGCCAGATTGCATCAAGCCACTCACCTTGTAAGTACAAACTACATAATATTATATAACTGCCACTGGCATAATTTCTGTTGACATAATGATGTTATCCATAGGGTAATAATTGAATAGTACAAGCTAAGCTCCTTCTGTACATGTTTTTAAATAAACTTGACATTGAACTTCACCTCATATGAATTGTAGAAATGGAAATAGAAAACCAAGTAAGTGTGGCCTAATGTCATGGCTGGTAAAAAGTCCCAAAAAAGAAGTTATCAAAACAGAACCAAAGACCTCTCAAGGTCACAAGAATGCAGCATCCACAGAGCATGAGGACTCTTCGCCAGCAAAGAAAATTAAGATCGTATAAGACATCCGTTTTTACCCATTTTAAGCAGTTGTAGTATGGTTTGTATTGTTTGTTAGGGCCTTAGAACCCTCTATGGAAGCAAGGATGGCAATACCCGACCAAGACAGGAGCATGTTTTTCAAATTATAGTTTTTCATGCCCACTGTCATTCTTGCTGTTGCCGTCCTTGCTTAGTACATGAAAAAAGGCAACAACTGGCATTCCAACAAAGACAGTAACAGCAAGGATAATAGTTTGTGCATGGACAACCATAGTCTGTCATCACTGTCTTGCTCCATTGTGAATCTTAAGGTCCCTGTTGAAGATTTCGTCTGCAGTTAGTGCTGATTTCTATTGAACAATTTACCAGAAATGTTGTCAGTCAGCAAGACGATCATTATTTATTTTTTTTAATACTCACTTTTTCTGAAATGTTATTGAGTTGATAATATTGTAGTTTATACCATCACATAATTTATATAAAGAACTGGTTTAAGTTTGTCATAACTATAAAATAAATGACTGAATATATGCAGGGAAACATAGTTAATTAAATTAGTTGAACTAAACAATCTGTGTTTTAATTTTATTCTTTTAATTAAAAATACATAGTTTACACTTACTCAACAAATGATTACCAGTAAAATATAGTGTAGCAAATATACACACAAAGCATAGATTTCTTACTTCAATCTTATTCAGGTTTAGCACAAGATAAGTGAAATATTGGCGGCATTATGTTCATGAGGAAATTAACTCTTAGCTGGTTCATATATACCATGTCCAAATGCACCCTTGCGTGAGGTGCTGTCTGTTGCATGATGTTTGAAAGCACCAGTTTTCGCTTTGTCCGTTCGAAAGCTTTCTATTTGGGATGGAATCTGAAAGAAAAATATATCCAAAGTTATTGGTTGATAATCACTAGACATTTTTTGGCTTTCATTAATAAAAAGATTTCCAAGTCAGACCATGACAATATTATTATTATTCTTACCTTTTGGAATTTTGACATTTGCCAAAATGGTGGGGGGTCCACAGGGGGCTGGAATTTTCTCAGTAGAGAAGCTCTTGTTTCATAGATGTTCTTATCAACATGTCGCTAAACAAATGGTTGAAATATAAAATCATTACRCAACTAAAAAAAACTAGGCCATTGAATTATCATAATTTATGTATCCTACACAGCGGGGCTTATTGTTTTCACATGTAACCTTCACTGACGGTTGCTACATATGGCCGTGTCTATGAATTATTAGGCTTCTCACAATTTCCAATTTATCTTTGAATATATATTTTAAATAATTATTTCATGCAGAATATTTACCTTTTGGATTTGTCTTGCTCTCATTGTTTCCTCTGCTTTGTGTCTTTCTTCTAACCATCTGTCTTGATATTTATGTCCAAGTAAATCATACACAGGAGTAGACGGCCTGCAGGCATCCAAAATATTATTTTACTTATTTAACTTATTTCCCAAAATATTACTTAAAAAAAGAATGGGATTCTAGGGATTTTTAGCTGCCCATCACTCACCTTGTTGGAACTCCAAAGACCATTGTTGGTGGTAATCGCTTCAGTTTTTGTATCGTCTTTTCAGTACCTGATTCAGCTTTTCTTACATCATGTGTTGCTCTGTATTGAAAATGTTCCTGGGCTGTTGTCAGACCGACTTGTACTGCTGATTTATTCAAGGATTGGAAATCCCTGGGAGCTTTTTTCTCTTTGCGTTGGAAAGTGGTTTGCACAGGGGCTGTTCTCCATACCAGAGCTTCAGAATACCAACGACATAAAATTTTAGTAGGTGTAGTGATGTTGAAGATAAATTAGATATATTTGGCAAAGTCCTTGTAATAAGCCTTTTCATAGTTTAAGAATCGATTCCACTGCGCATACGATTTTATCCCGAATTTCTCACCTTCTTTTGTTTAATTAAGAACAAAAGAAGGTTTAGACAAAAGAAGGTGAGAAATTTGGGATAAAATCGCATGCGCTGTGGAATCGATTCTTAAACTATGAAAAGGCTTATACTCTAATGAGTGAAAATTCCCTCCCCCCCCCAACCCTCGCACAAAATATAGTTCTTTGTACAAGGAACTCAATTACTTACCATCAGCAGCCCCACTAGTCTTCCCATCGTTTGGTTTTCCATAAGTAAAACCATCATGCGGCAGGGTGAAACATCTTCTGAGTGGACGACCAAGCTCRACCTATCAAATTACAATATAATAACTCAGACAAACAGCAGTAAGGTGCAGGCTAATAAAATTTAAAAGAGTGACAAAAAAATGGAAAGAAAAATGGGAAATTTGTGTCATACCTTTTGTAAAAGTGGATTATTGATCAATGACTCCCTTTGCACTCCAAGGGTGATGTTGCTCATTTTTTAACTTGCTTTTTTTTCTTCTCTGCATGCACTACCTATAGAGAAAATTAAAATATATCAACCATTATTGATGAAGGAAGTGGTCCAATAACATACACTATGACACTGGGGGTGGGGTGTAGACTCAGCCCCATCCCTACCCTCAGGGAAATGCTTGAATTGAATGTAAAACTAATTTATGCTACTTATCCCCTCTCATCCTAGGAAATTTAAATGTTAGAGGGTCCTTTAGCTTTCCCTCCTCATAGAAAGTATATATTGCATTCGAAAAATAGACAACCTAATTAGTATTTATTTTTAAAATCTGAAAGAGTTACTTCCTTTTCCGAACAGCGGGTGACTGTAAATATATTTGAAGTAGTCTTCGGAAATGGCGCACCTGATAAATTCTCGGCTTTTTTGTKGTAATTTAATATTAAAATTCACTATCTTATTTCGCTTCTCGACTTTCTTTAAAAAAAAAAATGACTTCCGCACGACAGTAAATCATTAACGCCCCTAGATACGTTCAAGTGCGTACATCTTGGGTGTAAATAAAACCATAGGTTTCTGTACGACTACTAAAATATTTTCTTCGTATATTTTAAGAACTAACAAAAACGGTATATGAATAATAGGAAAGGCTAAAAGGGCTATATGTCCACTTGTTATATTTGTATACAAAGGTCATGTCGTGTCAGTACGATCTTAACAACAATCGAACKCGACATGGCGTCGGTCATCGCGATGACTTAGTTACATTACACCGTGATGKTCATTAACCACAGCGATATTTGATACATTTATCGTATCTCTAAACCTTAAAATAAAAGCTCTTTAGCAGAATAAAAGATTGCTTTCGTGCTATCGCTTCCTTTTCTTCAAATTTAAGAGTCAGCTGATTGACGATGTTCCCGGCGATGAGAATACTTTGAAAAACAGCTGATTGAAAAAATATTTTCAGCTATCAAATTAGCTTTAAATGTACACCATGTAACGCAAAATAAGTACGCTGAATCATATAAATTATCTTRGCCTTAAAATAAAACGATCTATAAAGAATGTTTTTTTCTAACTTGTAATATGACACGCGGACAATTTAGTCCCAGCCAGTAAACAAAGTTGCCGCGATCCCAACATCTAAAATTTTCTCGTTATAAAAAAGAATTTATTTTTAAAATTTTACGCCATAAGACACACATACCTAAAGATTATGATCCAGGAGTTTTACAGAAATCGTCTCCAAAATCTTTGATTTCTTGACCAAAATATTCGGACTAATCTGAATTTTTCAGTGTTTCGACTTGAAGTGTACGAAGCTATTACAGTTGCTATGGAAATAGTAATACGTACTACCGCTGTCTAACGATACAGCTGGCTTTTTATATAAGAACGCCTCTGATTGGTTAAAAATAGGTTTGTTTCTTATCAACCAATCAAARTTCTTGAAAGATTTTATTTTATTATGAGAAACAGCTGAGTGGGAATACGACGGGCTCGTATTGTTTATCGTAGCAACTGAATTYTCTTTGCAAGAAAAGATGGATGCCACTAAAAAACCTCTTCTTATTCCTCCAGAGTTTGCAAATTATGCTCAAAAACATGGTRTCTTTCAACTTTATGAAGTAAGTTTTTTTTTGGCTGTAATATTTCTCGTGCAGTTGTCCTTAAGATTTGCTAAATTGTTTGTTTTTGTTTTTGTCGACTGATTGCTATTTTGGCATTTTGATGAAGGGGACGAAAAAAATACTTTCTTATTTGTTTTTCAAAATAATTCTCATGGCTTTTTGCATTTTTAAAGTATAGTGATATGTACTTCGATTGGTAAGAGACAGGGATCCAAACCATTGAATAGTTATTTGGTGCTTTTTTATTCATTTACTGTGTGCATGTAGTTTAGCAATGTAGCCAATGACCTGTGAACTAAAATGATATTTTCTTTTTGATTTGAAAGAGAGTACTGTCAAGACTGGTAGTAGAGCAACCAGCAGACCCACTGTCATCTATAATAGATATGCTACAACAAGAAGAAAATGGTAAAAGAATAAATCAAGATCAGTTGCCCTAAAAACTGTTTTCCTATCCAGATCAGGAGTCTTTTCCATGAAAATAAGTATTTTGTGTATGAGCCTCATTCAGGGAGTGTATGAGGGGAGGTGCTTGATGGGAGGGCTAATGCGGCACCCAGGGGCATACCCAGGGGGCCAAGGGGGCCTGCCCTTCCCTGACCCTCAAGCTGTAGAAACCTAAACATCTATGTAGTCACATGATAAGTTCTATTTACCAGTGTTCAGAAAACTGGTTTTGTTCCCCCTSCCTCAAGGCAAWTCCTGRCTATACTCCTGGGACCACCAACCMTCCTYTGGCAAACAGRGATTAGCTTAGCCTCCTCYGCAGGCTACCCCATATATTCTATGTTGGTATCCCTGTGTTAAATTATATGGCAGAGAACAACTAGAGATGAGAGAGGCGTCTTTTTTGTCCTCACCACATGAAGCCTGAGGAGCAAAAAGAGCCAAGGAGATGCCTGCGAGGGAGGCTAAGATTAGCTGTAGGTCTAAAAATCCTCATTAGTTTGCTAATGAATACTTACAGTACTATATTGTACCAAATCCTTTGTTCTTGATTATTCACCAGTTCCTCAGATCATCATACATGGGCYGCCAGCAGCTGGGAAAAGAACTATGGTAAGTCAAGGTTCAAGTTATAATGTGTAGTTCCAGAAATCATCCATACCCACCCCAATAGAGGAATATCCAAAGAGTAGGGGGRTCAGAGAAARAACAAAAATTACAGAGTTTGTATGGAAGAAAATTGGAATTTCTGGGGGGTAGGKGGGTGTCTTAAAAAAATTCCTCCTTGAGGGGGGTAKATTMAATTTTTGGAGCTACACAATCACATTTATAGAATCAGAATCAAACTGTAGCTCAATATCAATTTACTAATCCACTTTTTTTAAAGGCTGCTATGGCAAGTAGTCATCTTGGTTGTGTACATATTACTCTTGAAAACTTGGTGGAAGAGTCAGACTCCAAGTCAGGAACAAAGGTAATGTAAATGTCAAGTGTTAGAGTGGGTTACCTGTGATGTATTGAATAATGTATGTCATTGTACATTAATTTATACATTGATTAATCATATTTTTATCTCCTTGATTGACCAGGCTTCTGAATACATGAAAGCAAAAGAGGTAAATAGCATTTTTGTTGTGCGCTATTCACCATAACTAGTTTTTGAAATAATAATGGTTTTGGCATTTCATTCTTGTGCACACCTGTTGTTTGCCTACTCATGCATGCAGTACCTTGTATCATTGGATTTGAATGTTGATACAATGAACACATACATATCGTAAGATTCACCCTGTAGATTTTTTGGACTTGGATAGGAGCCTGAAAGCTAAGGTTGATGAAATAAAAATATTGCCAGTGTTTTCATGCTTTGTTTCTTATTGACACCTTTATGACTGTCGCTGAAGGCTTATTGGTGATTGTTGTCTGTTAATTGTCCATTACACTAAGCCATGAGGCACATATATATCCATCATWATTTTATAATTTATTATTTATACTTTTTTAGGAAGTGCCTACACATATTTGGATCAATTTGCTGAAGGAAAGAATGGAGAGAAGAGATTGCATATCTAGGGTAAGTAATTAAATTTTGACTAATTTAAAATAAATATTGTGACCTTTAGATTCTTAATCCCATTTTATATGGATCATATTTCCGTAGATTTATCACATTATGTGTTAAAATTATATTAATCATCATAACGAGCCTCGATCATCATCATCGTTGTTGTCTTCATCATTAACTTTTAATTAGTAATTTATTTAAAATTTTAAATATTCTTTCATAGGGATGGCTACTTGAGGATTTTCCTAAAACAAGAGAACAGGTAAAATATATAATAATTAATTATTGAATGGCATCATTTTTAGTAATCATTTATTTAAATATTTTCTGAGAATGTGTAGTTCCAAAAATTATCCATACCCCCCACAGAGGAATTTTTTAAGACACCCCCCTACCCCCCAGAAATTCCAATTTTCTTCCATACAAACTCTGTAATTTTTGTTATTTCTCTGACCCCCTCCCCTTCGGAAATTCCAAATTCCTCTGTGGGGTGAGTATGGATGATTTCTGGAACTACACAATGATAGGATRGCATTATAATATAGTTACATGATCTTGATGAAGTCCACTTTTTTCCAGGCATTAGCAATGCAAGTTGAAGGAATTATTCCCAAGTACTTTGGTAGGTATAAATTAACACTATCTACCGTTCAGTACACTTATAAGATCTTGTTTATGATATATTTAATGGGTTACCTGTGGTGAGTCACTGGGGGGATTCCCCTCCTGTCAGTAAAATATTCAATCAGTCTTTAAAACATTTCTAGAGTTAAATGAATATTATCTTTTTAGTCCTCCTCGAATGTCCAGATACGGTGCTGATTGAAAGAGTGATGGGGAAAAGGATTGATCCAGAAACTAATGGTAATTAGACTCTTTTGCTTCGTTATATTATGCACTTTTCACCATAATTTTTTCCCCTCTGGGTCTCATGTTCAATAAATTTTTTGAGGATCATTTAAAAAGATCATTTTTAGATTTAGATTTATCAATTAGGGGTTTTTCCTTATTTTGAGGGGTTTTCCCTGAGTTCTCTAGTTTTCCTCTCTCTGCAGTAAGCTACCTCACTAAATTCATTTGATCTGTGAGTTATCCATGTTCTAATGTTAATCATACTCAGTTGAATGTCAATAAATGAAAACGCCTCTAACCATTGTCATACCTGATCTAAAATCTATATGCCTGTATCRTTGTATCGTCTGTATCGTTGTATGTGTGGYCGTGTGATGTATATTAGCTGATCCTTTGAGAGATCGGGGGAATACATTGGATTTTGGATTGCTTAGATATGTAGCCCTATGGCATGTTGTGTATCGGTGTATCGCAATACGRGCAGCAATACAGCAAAAGTTGGGTCCTAAAACATGACACATGAAAATCTAATGCATTTACTACATTTAGGCAGCCGATAGATTGAATTAGAATTTTGAAGTTGATTTTGGTGGAGGGAGGAAAACTATAAGCCCAGAGGAAAAACCCTCAAAGCAYAGAAGAGAACCAACAAACAACTTAACTCACATATAAAACCAACTCAAACCCAGGTCACCTTCAATGGTGCAAGGTGGTGCGTTATGCAGTGMACAAGCCACCAGTGCTTCCCAAACTGATACTCTCATCAATGCTATGTAATCATAACTAACAATCTGTTAATGAATTCTAGATGTTTATCACACAACATTTGATCCTCCAAGTGACCCTGACATTGTCAGACGTCTTGTTCCTGATTCTAAGTCCTCAGATAAAGTCATGATGCAGAGGTTGATGGAATATCACAGGTAACTCCTTCCTTCAGTCTCTCAGCCCTTGATCAACTCAATGTCCATTCTTAACTCCAAATGTGATAATATTAGAAATGTATTACAGGTTTTAACAGTGCAGACGTTTCACCCCATGAGCAATTAAGTGTGCATACAACATTATACTGYTAATAATTTGCTATGATATGAGCTGTTTAATAGTTTTTATTATCATTGATAGTGGATTATTATTGCCTCCTAGACACATTGATGGCGTTCTAAGTTGTTACAAGAAAGTCTACAAAGCTGTGAATGCTGACCAGCCAAAGGCAGATGTATTTTCACAAGGTAAATCTTTTGATTCATATATAATATCTTTATATTAATCCTATATAATTCTGAWTTAAATGTATGAATCGAAAAATTATTTATTTATTTTCCAAACCTTTTTTCTTCCAGTGGTTGCTTACCTCAAGACTAACAATMGGTCCAATGCTCCACATACTCCAYGTATCATCTTGCTTGGGCCTACTGGGTGTGGCAAAAGTGTTCAAGCCGAATTRCTGGCAAGCAAATATGACCTTGTCAATGGTAAGTATATTCATGGAGGTTTGAAAGAAAGGGGRAAAAAGAGTAGAGGGAGGGAGAAGGGAGAGAGGAGGGGGGATGGAGGAAGGTAGGAAAGGAGGAAGGAGTGGAGGAAGGGACATTGGAAGAATGGGAAGGAGGGACAGAGGAAGGATGGCAGGGAACAAGGAAACAATGAAGGAATGGAGGGAGCAAGCTACCAAGCAAGAAGGGAAGGGTCAGAAGGAGGGAGGGACGATTGGAAGAGGGGTAAAAGAGAAAAAGAAAGACAGAAGTTGCAAGTACCAATTGAACTTAAAACTTGCATAACTGCAATTTTGATTTGAAATCTTATATTTTATCTGACAGTATCTTGTACAGAGTTGATCAAGCAGTGCCTTGTTGATGACTCCAAGATGGGTGACATGATTAAACCATATCTCGATAGAAAAATGCTAGGTAAGACAACATTCAAATAACTCGTTATGATCACGAACAGTGCAAAAGCCTTTTCACTCACTTCTAATAGCATTTTCTAGTGAGTTTGCATTCTTGCCAGGATTTCAAACCTACAGAAGTTGCTCACAAAATATCAGGAAATGTTTGCAGTTTGTCTATATTCGCACATGACATGCATGTTTCCAGCTGCATTTTCAAAATATAGACCTTATTTGAAGCTCTTGGCTATCTTTTTTTCTTTTTCCGCAGTTCCAGATGACATGGTCATCCAGTTACTCAAGAATCAACTAAGCAAGCTTGATGCTGTCACCAAAGGCTGGGTTCTTCATGGCTTTCCCAAGACAAGAGAACAGGCCGAGGCTCTGACACGGGCAGGATTTGAACCAAACAGGTGTGCAATATGCTTTACAGTTCTGAGTTACATACATGTACAGTGATGACGTTATAATGATGAATGATAATTGCATTGATGTGGTTGCCAATGTTGATGCAGATGTAATTACGARGGCAGCACCTTCTCAGTTATTTCAAGACCCCGAGTATTGTTCCAGCCGAGGCTCAACCACAACCTCCAGCACTGTCACCAGACCCATGTTCTTACTGAGGTCTGGGTGGGGTTGATGAAGATGATTGCTATGATAATGAAGGTGGTGACGTTAAAGTTGATGATGATGATGATCATAATTTATTTTTTTCACTCTTCTGACAACAGGGTGATTTTTATGGATGTACCTAATGACACAATACTTGAAAGAGTCACGTTACGAAGTGTTGACCCTGTCACGGGYGACCGGTGAGTAAACACTGGCTATGTAATAGAGTACCAATGTGATGACATCACAAAATTGTTTTTAAAGACATTTAGGATTCTGGAGACATTATCAGAAACTGCATGTAAAAAATATGTTAGAGTGTGAAATTTCAGAACCATTGAGAGAAAAACAGTTGTGATAYAGGTAATTTAATATGAAAATATCCCCCTACATTTTCTCTTATTTGAGGCCGGATCTCACTTGATTGGATCCAATTCAAAATAAGAAAAAATGTATAGGGCCTTTTAGAGCTTAAATACCCAATATCTCCATTTCTCTAGGTGAGTGTACATGTAGGYAATGGTGTGTTCTCTTCAAATATGAACATTTCAAAACTGAATTGAAAAATTTTGATGAATTTCGATGATGTCACACTTCGGTACTCTATAGTTGCAAGTCATATTGAAATATCCTCACTCTACTATTTCCCCTCCATCTGTCATCCTATAGACATCATCATTATTCTGTAGTTTACACTATCTTATGTATTTCTTTTTTGTAGGTACCACTTAATTTATAACCCTCCTAGATCGGAGGAAGTCAGAATGAGGTTACAGAGGGTATGTTCTCTTTTGTTATTGATAAATCCATTCCTTTTAAACCAAGCAGCATATGTCATTGTAAAATAAATTAAACTTGTCTATACACGTATAGCTGTGCAATTATTTWATACTCTCAATACTTTTTGTTTTCAGCGTGTAAAAGATGAAGAAGACTCAGTCAATGCAAGAGTTGCACAATACCAGGCATACATAGATGAAATATCAGAGTTCTATGAAGACATTGGCCAACATATCAATGCTGATCAGGATATCCACACTGTGTTGGAATGTATAGAGAGTATTATTGTCAATCCTTTGCCAAGAAAAGACGAAACATAAGCCATCCTCATAACACTTTTTTGGACCTTGTATAAATTTGATTGACATTTCCTTTGCATAAAGCCAAGCAGCCAATAATTGTTTAACAATTGGATTTTGGATTTTGAGGAGTTACATTACAATTCTCATTATGTTTGTCACTGTGTGGTGGCTCTCTGGGAGATTGGAAAGGAGGGAAAAGGGGAGGAAAAAGGGGAGGAAAAAGGGGAGGAAAAAGAGGAGGAAAAAGGGAAGGAAAAAGGGGTGGAGAGAAAGGAGAGATCTTCTTTCTTCCCCTTTTTTCTTTCCTCCCCCCTCCCCCCTCCCCCTCTTCTTTTTCCTCCTTCCCAATCCCCCAGAGAGCCGCCATGCAAGCTAGTCTTCCTGTGGTTAAACAGCTACAAAAGCAGGAGAACCAGGAGCTAGGATACCATAAGTCTGTGGTCCCATCTAACCTTATACCATCCAAGACATTTCTAAATGAGAGACTTTTAAGTTGAATGTTATAAAAGTTTTAATTGTAAATACTTCAAGCTCATATTATTTGTTACATTGTTTAGTGTACAATAAAAGGTTGTTACCAAGGATGCCATTTTTTTGTTGTTGTGAGTACATTGGGATCCCTGTGGTGTTTGCCACAGGTATCCCAATCCAGATTATATGTCCTCATAGCTTATCAGTTGTCTTGCTTCTGGGATTTGGGATTGACTTGGCCCACCTCGTCCATCTGCCATATCAAATAATAAAAACGCTAAGATAATAATACTTTGAATTCCTAGCCAATAAATGATTATTGTGTTACGTCAATATAACTCCTTCGGTCAGAGTCAAGCAGATTAGATTTCATTTGATTGGCACACCCCACTGTCACATAAATATGAGGACTTCCTTTCAACCAATCACAACATGTTGTGTGAAAACACGGAACATATGATCAGATTATGCTAAGACATGACATCATCATGGCAATGGCACGACTATAGCTTGATTCTTTTACAGTCATATGTAACYCATATAATATGGCACTCTAGCACAGCTGCACTCACCTCTACTATCGAAAGGCTGTCCCCTACCATACGAGTGAGAATCGTCTAAATTACCCTGCCGCCGTGCCATGGATACTTTCATGAAAACATGCGACACTTTGAGACCATCCATCTGGAAGGATCAACAACAGCAACAGCAACAACAACAACTCAATTATAATGGCAGATTCATCAAGAGGAAAGATGCAGGGGATGTGCAGCCCCCTCCCCCAGATAAGCTGATATAGTTATAGCTATTCAGTAATGATTTCTAATGCACCATTATTGGACCTGCATTGAATCCACTCAAATTTAAGAGGGACTATTTTATAGAAATCAGATAAATAACRAGGTACAATAATTATTATAATTATAATAAATATTCTTGAATATTTTACCTCTTCAGCTGCTTTTTCTGCTGCTTCATATGAATCAAATGTCACAAAACCATGGCTGAAAATTAGATAAGATTAAATTCTTTTAAATTAAATAATTATGCATAATTTTTWAAAAAACTATTTTTTTAGGCATTAGCATGATAAAATGCCAAGATTGACATACCATTTCTCCTTTTCAAAATGTGTTCTCTCTACTTTTCCTGAAAGTTATGCAATCAAATATGACTGAGGAGGGATTTATTATAGATAAACCATTCCAAGAAAGAGTCGGWAGGGTAGTGAATGGGGTTTGAGGAGGGTACACAGTCATCATCATCATCTTCAGCTTTTGTAGCAACACGAGTCCCATAAGGCCTTTAGAATGTTTTCAGTGTCTGTAATATATATTTTTTGTGTGTGGGAGTGGGTTATTAGCCCTGAGGACCTAAGCCCCCTAATCTGGGGACCCAGAAGCTGTTATTCATCTGACCTCTCCCTCAAATCTAATCTGGCTTTGGCAATTAACCTATGGTTACAGATAATATCCATATGCCAATCATGTGCTTACCAAATTTATCAAAGCTAGTGTTTAGGATGTTTTCAGTTAATCCAACAGCCTTGACGAAGATAGTTTTTCCCTAAAAGAAAAATAACCATTTCATTATAAGCATATCGCTTACTAAACAATCTGCTCAATCAAAAATAAACTTATTATGATGYCTTACCCTTTTCCTTTCACGATCATGACCATATCCTCTGGAACCTAAGATAAGTTAATAATAAGTTAACATTTATTCAAGTGTATTCTTGTACATAGTATGCATTTTATAGTAAAAGATTTGTGTCCACTATGTTTAAGCGTTATTTGGTGGTTGGAGGAAGTGGAGTGGGGGGAGGGGGGTGGAGGTACACCACTCAGCACCAGAACTATAGCTTCCAGTCCCATATATTATTATATTATATACAATATATCATTCAGGAGTCATTGAGTCAACCCCTTCCCCTGAGGGTAATAGAATACCAACCATAGTTACCAGAGTCTGATGAGCCTCTTCGTCCTTCAGGAACAAAACTAGTCAAAAAATGCAAGAAAAATATAGAATTTGTTAGCTTAGGGCATGGCTAGCTCACAGTTCAAACCCTGAAACAACCTCTGGGCTGATCTAAGTCAGGGCACGGCTAACTCACAGATCACCTGAAACATCCTCTGGGCTGATCTAGGTCAGGGCACGGCTAACTATCAGATGAAACCCTGAAACAACTTTTGGGCTGATCAAAGAGGTCTCAACTGGGTCAGTTTCTATACATTTCATTGTATTGGCYCAAATRCCTCAAYGYGAAAGGCAAGAAAGTGTAAGTCTAATAACTACTATCATTGTCCTTTACCTGTCATAAAGGTTCCTGATTTGTGGTTTCTAAAATAATATCCAAAATACAAAATTAATTACACTACAATAAAAGTAATAATAATAATGATGATGATGATGATGATGGTGGTGATGATTATGATAATAATAATAATAATAAAATTTCGCATATTTCTTTACCTGCGAAGTACTTGAACTTGATGACTGGTTAGCAGATTGTTGGTTAGAGTTGGGACCTTGCTGGCCCTCCTAAGATTATATTTACAGTAATATTCAAATAATTAATGATAACTTTTTTAATTCTACAATTAAAGGTCAAAATGAAGAACTTTTTTACTCTATGGTCAGTCTCAATAATGTATTGAAGAAATAGAAAACRCGTGCGYGTGCAATGTGCTCTCATAAAGCACGTGCTCCAAACCAATCAGGACGCGACATTCATAACAGATATTTTATAAATTGTATTTAGTTAAGTTGGCATTCAAATCATATTTTCCTGATCAGATTAYAGCAGGGTGTTTTTCAACACAAACTTATTAGTTGCAAGCTGTATATAACAAAAAACCTTTAACATATTAGCAGCGATAAACCAAACTCCAACAGCTTTACACTTGCAATCACCAAGTTAGCTTTAGCATAATGTTAAACTTTTCATTAATAATTTGTTAATTATTTTGATTGAGAAAAGCAGATTTGAAGTGAATACTTAATATATAAGTATACTTGAATTTATTAAATAAAGTTTTACCCTGAGGCTAATTCTTCTGTTTTCTAACTTGGTCCTTTTGAATTCTCTGTGAGTTGGATCTTTYTTAATTTTCACAGTCTGGAAGTATAATAAAAGAAATACCAGATATACATTTTCAGAAAGAAAATGGTGTGATTAGGCTATAATGTATAATGTATGGCAGAGGGGGGGCAGGTGAAATTTAGGGGGGATCGGAAAATTTTTTACCAGTAAAATGGGGAGGTTTGAAATTTTTTTTCAGAGAATTGGGGGGATGCAAAATTTTTAGAAGAAGCTACGAGAGATTGCCCAGGGGGAATTGTTATTTTTTGGGGGGACTTCAAGGGGGGTCTTTTTTGTCATTTAAAGATTCCACCTGCCCCCCCCCCTGCCATAGAGCAAACTGTCAAAACTCTAAAAAAATTATAAAGCAGAACAGAAACAGTGCTCAACAGCAACACTTTGCAACAACAGCAGAAAATATTTGCAGCAGTAGCAACAAATATATCAACTACAACACCAACAACAGAAAACAACATGAACAAACAGCAGCAACAACAACAGCATCAGCAACAGCAAACGACAATGACAGAAAATAGCAACAATAGACCTATTGCAGTGTTTTCCCATTTCAGTCCATGTGTCATTCCCTTGAGAATARGATACTTTGTTTATTGAGTTGTATCTATATTCATGTGTCTTTTCATGCACAACTAATAAACAAAAAATGATATTCTAGGGAATGCTGCGTGTTCTGTAATGGGAAAATATTGCACCAGGACGAATTAGGTCTAAATGACAGGAGCAACAACAACAACGTACAAGCACCAATAATAAAACCAACAACAACAGCAACAACATACATACCCCAGAAGCAATAAGTTTCTTTGCTATTTCTTTAGCGTCTTCTGGTGGATGTACTGGTTCAGGAGCAGCTTYRTGCAATAAAAATGTAAAACAATTTTATTTCCTGCAAATAAAAATGTAGAAACATAGCAAGAAAAAATTTCCAAATACTTTCTTGGTATCGTACCTCTCTTTATCCCAGGTTTTGCAGTCTTAATTGCTTCATTCTTTTCCTTTTCTTTCTGTATTGCTCTTTTCTGTAAGACAAWTTATAATAGAAAACACATGTAAACTTTTTGACTTTCAACGACCTTCGCGACTGATGTTTCTCATTCCTTGAGATAGAACTCCAAAACAAGAAGCCAGATAACTTCATTCATATCTTATATTTCTGTTTATATATGATCGATTACCTTTTTCTTCAAGAGAGCAAACTTTTTTAACAAATATTCTTCAACTGGTGTCAAATCTTTTGGAAGAACCATTCTGCCATCTTGTTTATGAGCCAGCAAGCATTACCCAGAATACAACTCAAACGTTTCCTTGTAAAACCTAATAGAAATCCATTTTCCATTGGTTAGATTCACACGATAGCATCTCAAGTACAAAATTAAATTTATCATAAATTGATTTTAAAGAAATTCTCAGAACGTTTTGGTTTTAATTTCTTTGGGCTACAAATTTCGTTAATTGCTTTATTAAGGCAAACATATACATAAAGCTCCAAATCAGTAAACATTGGTTTTAACCAATCGTTGAGGATCTTCTATGTATGTTTTAACGATTGAGCAAAACAGGAAGTAATTTCTGTATTAATCATTTTCTAAGAAAAAGACAAGATGGACGRTTTCGTTGGAGACGAAGACGTATTTTGGAGCTTAAAAATAGAAGTTTTACACGATATGAGAGATGAATTAGCAAAAAATCTCTACCCAGATAAATTTTTCGCCTATTTTCGCTCGAAGCGTATCTTCGATGCTGATGATTGTGAAAACATTACTGCTGAAAGAACCCGGAGAAAACAAGCGGAGTTGTTCCTCGACGTCTTAGAATCTAAAGGACCCGAGGCTTTTGACGAGTTCTGCAGATTTATAAATAAAAACAAAACGCAGATTTATCTTCTGCAGAAAATTTTGGACAAATTTGASCAAAAGAAGGGAGAGATATTGGGTAAGTTGAGGTCACTTTGGTTACAACTCRGAGTTTAATTTCATRATTGAATTTGAAARTGATAAATTTAAAACACTGACTCAAGACTTTATTGAAACAGTCTAAGGCCTAATTTTAGCTATGACTTGGTAATTTGAGCCAAGGAATCTGAAACTTATATTTTTGGGGGATTTTTTGGGGAAATTGTTTAGGTAACAGCTGTATGATGAAGTTCCTCCCCAGCTAAAATTTCCTTGTTTAAGAAAGGAAATTTCTTTCTTTTGGAGGGGGGGGGGGGGGGGGCTTTTACTGATTACGAAATAGTCATTTCTGTGAG